ATTTATCATAATATGATGCAAATCTACATTATAGCGCGAAATTTTTAAAATTTTTCTAACATTTATCAAATATAAAACATTTACATATATTTTTTGAAGGAATTATACTCTGAAGAAAAATGAAAGAAGAAACTTAAAATGCTAGCATAGGAGGACGTAACTCATCATAGAAAAACTTACTGAAAAAATATCAAACCACAAATTAAAAAAGAGAACGTCAGAAAAAAGGAAGAGAGAATCGAAGACAGGTTAGTTACAAGATCTTGCAAATGATACTAAATACTTTGTTTGTAACAATGATACTAAAACTTTGTAATAAAAAAACATAACACATCTACTAAAAAAATCTGATACATCATTGAATTGAAAACAGTAGTAGACAATGTCTCATTGCAGCATATTATTGAAACATTGGATGAGCATTTTGCAAGAAATCTATTTTGGTTTAATGCCTCACTCCATTAATCACGATATTTCTTATATTTATTTGTTCTACATAATTATTCTGGCATGGTGGGTGAGCTTGGAGTCCAACGAGCTTTGTTAAGATAGCCATAATATATAAAGCTTTTACAAGCTAGTTCAATTTGTTACCTCACTTATTCCAATGAACATAATTTTATTTTTCATGAAGATGATGTTTCATAGGTGCAAAAAGTGAAAGTGTGTCAAAGTAGGAGGAAGATAAGAGGCTCACTAGATTGTGACGTGCCAAGAAAAAATTAATCTTTTTGTCATAAATTTTTATAATCTTTGTGTTCTTGTTAAAAGATTTGTTGGAGAATTTTTATAATTTAAACCCATGCTGGAGATATTGTTTAATGATTGAGACATTTTATTTTATTTTATTTTTTATTTTAGTTTAATTTGCAATATGGTTAAAAGGCTTGATACTTGATAGGCAATGTAAGCTCTTTATTTTTTAATAATAGGTCAGGTTTTGTATTTAAATCAAATCTTTAATAGGCTAATAAGTTAAATAAACTCAATATTTTTTTGTATAAGCTTTGGCCATAAAGATCAAAGTCTGGCCTAATTATACCCCTACTAGACATACACATCACTTTTTATTTTTTATATAATTATTTTAATTTTACCATATAAGCAAATGTGAAAGATTTGAATGTATGAGTTTTGTGTAATTAGCATTTTTTAAATTATAAATCTATCAACATATGTCCGTGTAAAGTACATAATAGAACACAAATTTGTCTACAATATGATGAATCAAAGTGATGATGTGGATACAACATATACTTGATGATTCCACGACAACATGGTTTTGATGATAACAAAGAGGAATGATTCAAAGACGAAGCAATATCCAAAAAGCAAATGTGAAAGTATGCACCAAGTCTCAAGCATCAATCCAAGTCCAGAATCTCAAATGGTATATTCATTTAGGACTTAGGATAAATATGTAAAGATGTATAGAAACAAAGCATTGCATAAGCTCAAGGTCATTCATCAATCATATATTTCAAAAGCATGCATCCTTAAAAAGAAAAGTCAAGACAAATGGTTTCATATGTACAATTTTGGTTTGGAAGAAGTACCTCTGCGATACAAACTTTTCTAGATAATTTCCATAACCAATAACATGCATTACACGTCATAAAAACCATTTGGAAAGAGTAGAAACTCAGAACTCATACAAAAAGGCTGCTGCTATGAAATATCCGGATATTCCACTTTGAATATCCGGATATCAGATATCCGGATATGTAACAAAGAATATCCGGATATACAATATCCGGATATGAGCCCGATGAATATCCGGATATGTACGGATTACAACGGCTATAAACGACTAGAAACGGCTAGTTTTCATAGGAGGTGTCATTATAAATACCCACATCAGTTGGGATGAACAGTACACGACCCTATAGCATTTATTGAAGCTTTATTACTCTTGCTAGCCTTTTATTACTCATTAATTACTCATTTTGATCATTGCATACACTTGAGCTCATCTTTCCTTTGAAGTTATACATCTCTTAGTTCTTCAATTTGTTCAATCTGTACTTTGAGAGTACTTAGCCACTTCTAATCACCTCAATCCTACTTCTTGATTTGAGAGGGGAGTGAACCCTATATTTGAGAGGTTACCAAATTCCTAAGAAAATTTGGAGTGAAAAAGTGTAAGGCATCAAGAGCCCGAAGTTTTGAAAAGTTGTAGTGGTTTGTCAAGCACCCTCAAGCTTGATAGTTAGTGAAAAGAATTGATCGAGCGGCTTCAGTCTGGACGTAGGTCACAATGGTAGTGACCGAACCAGGATACATCTAGTTTGTAATTTCTCTAACCTTAATTTCTTTATTTAAGTATTAAAATTGCATCTTAGATTATCTTTATACATTCGCTTGCTTACTTTGTTGATCATTACACTTGTTTTTACAATTAGACATTTCCTTATTAAATCACTTTATTGAAGAAATAGTCTTTAAAACATCAAAGGAGGTACTTTGTGAAAAGATTTTGTAAAACTCAATTCACCCCCCTCTTGAGTATTGAAGCCACTTGTCCAACACAATAAAGCTAGAAGCACTGAATGAAAGGATGCCACGAAATGCTTGTCGTATGTCAAGAAAATGAATTCTTTCCTTCAACTTTTTTAAATGATAAGATCACATGAAGGAAAAAAACAATGCAAACGTACAAATCTTAAACAATTTATAAATTTTTAACAAATTAAAAATAATGGAGTGGAATGCAAGTTTTGTTCTAAAAGAAGGATTTAATGCCTATGATAAAATTATTTTTTATACACATAAAAATAGGTTTTTTTTATCACTGTAGTCCTTATTTAATAATTAATTATTAAATTGACCTTAATTATAAACTATTTCAAAAATTTAACCTTGCTTACAAACATAACATCAATTTGTTCCTGTTTGACCATTGACCATCAAGCTTATCCGGGCATTTCCTTTCTACTCGGATATTTTTTGAAAATTTTATCCGAGTAATCAAAAAAATATCGTGATATATTTCAAAAATCTAAAAAATAATTAAATTATTTACCCGATAACCGAAGTATTAGCCGAGTAAATGTTCTTCTTAGAAAGATCGTTTGTTATTATCTGACCTCTGAAAAATTATCACAAAGAGAGACAAAGTCTGAAGAAAGCATAAAACACATGCAATCAAATCAAAGAGACTGTTTATTTACTTTGCCTTGAAAATGAAATAACAGTGCCTCATTTTCGATGCCACGAAGTCATGTTTTTCCTTTTTCTATGGGCACGGTGGATTTTCCTTTTTCTATGGGCACGGTGGACCGTTGGAAATAATTATTACAAGCTGAAATGTCTAAAATAGTATTTTCATTTTCGATGCCATGAATGAAGTCACACTCTTCCTCATTCAATAAGTTGTGCATTTTACGATTAATTTTTGGGTTTATCATCTATTATTTAATATGATCATAAAAATTTTCTTATACATACAATATTTTGTGAGGCCCGCAACAAAAAACAAAAAACTTCAGCACGCAAAACGAATCTTTATAACATAACACAATCACTTTTCCTACAACATAACTGTTATAAAATCCTAATTTTTGAGTTATCATACAAATGGAAACATTTGTATTAATGTAAAGTTATCTCTATCACACACGGTACCATGGTTCCATGTCACTCCAGAAAAAATATACCAAGTAGTTGAGATGGGAGAGTGTAATATAAGAGTTTTAATGGATTCTAAAGGAGATATTACTGGAATGCTCTTTACCTCTCCTTCAAATCATGTACCCCAAAAAATAAAATGTACGGCCCTTTTAAGTTTTAATGGGGTTTGAAGCCTTAGTTTTAGATATTTCACGAATGAGTTGAAGGAGAGAGGTAAAGAGCATACATTTTACCATGGTTGAACATGGGCAAATAATGTATGGCCCAAATGCTTGAATTATTTACCGTGTCATTCCAATTTTTTGAAATATACCATGGTATCTTTTGACTATTTGGATAGAATCAAATTTTCAAAAAATACTCGGTTAGAGAGAGAAATATCCGGATAGACTTGATTGTCAACGGTCAAACAGGGGCATATTGGTATTATATTTTCTGGAGAGTTTAAATTTTTGAAATAATTTATAGGGTTCGATTTTCTACAGTTGCTGCAGATAAGTTATCTGCAGTAAGCCCAATACGACGTCGTTTTGGGGCAGAAATCATAGTGTTTTTGTAATTTTAATTTATTTCAGGGTTATAATAGTCTTTACATTTATAATTTTTTAAGATTTCAATATCAAAACGACGTCATTTTGGCAATAAATGCAGATAACTTATCTGTAGTAACTGCAGAAATATTTTTCCCTAATTTATAATCAAGGTCAATTTGATAATTAATTATTAAATAAGTGTTATAGTGGTCAAAAAGCCCATAAAAATATGTGTATGATCTATATATTTTTTTTTCTCTTTTTTTCACATAATTCTATAAAAAAAATTTATATATTCAGAAGATAATTTTATCTCGTGGAAAGACCAAACCCTTAGAGGCAGTTTGGTATGGAAATTTTTTTAGAAATCTTGAAAATCATCAAGATTTTGTGACCCGCTACCGAACTTATTCCAATTTAATAACATATCTCAATATTATGCCTTGAAAAATAGGATGGGGCATATTTTTTTCTAACTTTTGGCACGAGGAAACTGAAAATATTCATGAAAAACTTTTTTCTCATCATTTTAGTTTTAATTACAGAATTCCAAATGAAAATATTATCTGATATATGATATTTTTATTTTCCATCATTATAATTAACTCAATATTCCTTGAAAAAATTTAGATCTATCACACATATTTTCGTAATTTACCCCAAAAATAAAATTATCATATTGTCAGAATTTTTTTTTTTTCTCGATAAAAAATATCATCTCTGCCAAAATTCAAATATACTTTTCTTCCTCGGTAAGCAAATTCTCAACTTTGGGACTTGGAAATGAACAACTATCTGAAGACTGAAGTTCACAATCTGATCACATCACTATCTTCAATGGACCTGTCATTGCCAGGCCCAAATGACACAGACGACGACGTTTTCTTCGATTTGCTTCATCACTGCCCCTTTCCCCATTGCTCCGACAACGCCGATAACTCGCCGGAATCTTCCGCCTCTGCTTCCATTGTTTGCGGCCCTGACCCCCACCCTACAACCTCGGCAACCACAATCCGGCGCCGTTCAATTCGCCGTGGATCACTGGTTAGGGAATCGACAGACGCCGATTCCGAAAGCCATTTGATCAACGGTGCCAGCACCAGCTCCCGGAGTATTCAAAATATTGAAAATTTGAAGGAAAATGAGAATTCTGAGGAGAAATGCGACTCATATGAAGGGAAAGTTCGTTCCTTTCCATCTCCAAGTGTTGTGACCGAGGAATCGACGTTAACTACAGCTGCAAACGATGATGGACCCGGCAATTCCGCTGACTCGGCAGCGGAACTCGGCGATTCCCCTTCGAATTGGCTTGAATATGCAGTAGGGTTGTTGATTAGGGCAATTTTGTTTCAAATTAAAATTTTCTTTGTGTTGATAAGGTACCCTGTGCTGTCAATGTTTCATGCTTGCATGTTTTTTATGGACCCATTTGGAACATTGAGAAAGGGCAAGGGTTTTTTGTTGGGGATGTTTGGTAGAGTGTTGTGTTGTGTTGGTCCTTCAGCTCAGAGATGGTTCAGGGAGCACAAGTCATTGTTGGATGTTGCCTTTAGGTGTGGATGGGGTTACTTGTGGTCAATCTATGTTTGCTGCATTTTGTTTGCTCTTTTGGTTTCCTCAATTGTGGTTAGTGTGTTTTTGGTCATGTTCTTGGTGGAGAAGCCATTTCAGATGAGGCAAGTTTTGAATTTTGACTACACCAAGCAGAGTCCTGTTGCATATGTTCATATAATATCATGTGCTGGTGTTGGTGTCGGGCAAGCTTCTGAAAATGACATAATAGTTAGTAAGTGGATGGGTGGAAGGGTTATACCTGCTAAACAAAAGGTGCAGGTCACTGTTTCATTGCTGGTGCCAGAGTCAGATTACAACAAAAATCTTGGGGTGTTTCAGGTATCTATCTAATTCATTTCAATCTAAAGAAGCTTTGGCTTGACATGAACTTCTCTGCATATTTGCTTTTTAGCCTGTCATTGTGAAGTTTTACTAGTTCTGCATCTTCTCTTAATTCAAATGCGAATGGGAAAGTTCTATGTTGGTGTAGGGAACTGTGATGGCGAATAAGCTATTTGTGGTCAGTAGTGTATACTTTTGAAGTGGCAAGTTGGTGCTAGTTCCAACTCCCAATAGAAATAGGTACATCTTCTCTATATGGCAACTTCAAAAGGTTTGAGTGGCAAGTTGGTGCTAGTTCCAACTCCCAATATCTTCTTGTTTGCGTTATTTGAGTATTTTGTAGTGTTGTAAACATGATTTTAGAATTTCACGAATTAGTTTTATTTGAGATGAGTTCAAAAGCTTCTATGATGGCTGTGCTGCTGTGGCTCAAGCGCAGCCATTGGAAGGGTTTCTCAGACATTGAACTCATCTGGAAGGGATTCAACAGGCTAAGAGTCCAATTCTTGGCGCCCTGGTCTAATTGTTAAATTTTAATAGATAACGACAGGGTAGGTAGTTATCAGCACAATCCTCTTCCATAATAAATGTCAAGTGGACTTTCCTGTGAAAGTTGTGTTGGAGACTAACACATTTCTTTGGCCTTTTCGTAATAGCTAAAACCTAAAACTTTTAGCTGAAGTGTTTTTTTTTTTTATTGTTATTTTGTGTGTATTTGCTATGTTTCCTATCATTATGGTGTGGGTGCTTTAAAATAACAGTTAGATTTATTGGACAAAGAAGGGGATTAATTGTACTTGTGGACTGTTTGATCATGATTTCTTTAAGCATATATAGGTGCATTCTATCGAAATTGTCTTTTCCTTGTACTTGTATCTTCCTGCTTAAAGAATTAGAACTATAATGAATTACAGTTCATAGTTTCCCGTTGCTTGCTTTTGAGTTTCTTCTTTGACTTGTATCATTTTATAGATCAGGGCAGACTTCTTATCTTCTAATGGTAAAACAATTTCAAGTTCGAGCCAACCTTGCATTTTAAAATTCAGAAGTGAGCCTATCCGCCTAATAACAACTTTCCTCAAGATTGCTCCTCTTGTTACTGGTTATATATCAGAATCCCAGACCCTGAATGTCAAGATAAGAGGTTTTGTTGAAGGGGATGTACCTATTTCATGCTTAAAAGTAACCCTTGAGCAGCGAGCAGAATATCTACCTGGTGCTGGCATTCCTCAAATATATGAGTCATCTATATTTATTGAATCAGAACTTCCCTTATTCAAAAGGATTATTTGGCATTGGAAAATAATCATATTTATATGGATCACAATGATGGCATTCATGATGGAGTTACTCTTTGTTCTAGTGTGTTGTTGGCCTATAATTATTCCACGAACCAGGCAAAGAAGTGGTTCTGATCGCAGTAGTGGTACCCAAAACAATCTTCAGGCACCAAAGGTGAGCCATCATCTTCACTTCAGTATGCACTGGATCATGATTTGCTTAAGTATTATCTGTTTGATGGTTTCCTGTAGTTATCTTGATTTTAAATATTAGAAATTCTTATATGTGGCTTTCTGTTTTTTTTTGTTTTTTTTATTTTTTTTTTATATATCTTAGTGGGATACTATTCATCTTGTTGTTTATAATGATTTGTTCCTTTTTTCCATTAGCTCCCAAACTATGATTAGTGAAGCAATAGCTAAGATTTTTCTTTTGTTGTTTCTTATACATTTGGTTTTGATTCCTGATAGAATAAAGTGAGTTGATTTTTCAAATGAAAAATATGATTCAATGTTAGATGATGTTTGTTCACTATCCTCTCTCCCTTTTCTCTCTTAAAGGATTATCTGGAGCTACATGATGATGCCTATCCTAATGGAGCCGAGCCTTCTTTCTCTACTTGGAAAGAAACAACAGGTTCCACTGCTGTGGCCGAGAAAACTACCTCTGCTACTGAAACTGATGTACAGGAGATTCCCCCAGCTTCCTCTGTAGTAATGCCATCCAAAAGTTTTACAACAGATGGTTCACCTCCTGTTAGGTCTGCTGATGGATCTACACTTGGTCAGAAGGTTGATGTACCAACCTCCATAAGTTCATCTATCCCTGATCCTACTTTTAAGCCAACAACAGGTGCAGTGACAGTAGCTGCACACACAATTGTGGGTTCTGACAAGTCTAATTCGCAAAATGGATCAGTTGTTAATCCTCCCCTGTTTAACTTTGGGAATGAAGTTGTTCAGTCAACAGAGGTGACTGCTGCTGATGCTCCATCAAAGGAGTCTACTAAATCAGGTCCAATATTAGGTTTGGATAAAGTTGCATCGTCAAAGAATCCTGATGCTGATGCTCCGTTAGTTAACTTTGGCATCAACGAAAATGTTGACAATGTTCCCCAAGTCTCATTTACTTTCTCATCATCAGTTGGTGGTGAATCTGGTGGACTCAAATTTGGTTCTTCTTCTGACTCAAAGCTGACGAGCTCAATCAGGTTAGTGTATGTAATTTTGGCTTGTTTTAAAAACTATCAAAATAACTGTTGTACTCATCTAGATATTTTCTAGTTTAATTATAGATTTGTGTCTGTTCTGCCTGTTCTGTTGATTTCTTTTCAGTAAAAAAAAAAGAAAAAAAAGATTTTAGCTCTAATGAGTTATGGGAGTATATTTTTCTTTCACAATAACTTCTACTTTTCCCCATGTTTGCTATAATAAGTTGTCTTAATTTAATACTTTTCATTCTTCCCTGCTACTGTTCCGGTGTCGTTTGATTTGTAAACCACTTTTTGCATTCACTGTTTTATGGTCGTAGACACCCCTAATTTATCAAGTGGTGATTTATTGTTATCTTTAACTTAGGTTCTCATTTTTAAAGTGAATTTTGAACTTCTTTTGTGTTTACTTTTTGCAATTTGACTGTGATTTCTGTGATGTATCATAATTCTACTGTTCTTATCGACGCACTGTTGATTTGAATTTGTAAAGAGATATAAGGGATCTTACATCATGTTTATTGAAGTGTTACAATGAACAATATATTAAATGTCCCCTTCATTTGCAGCTCAACTACTGTTCCTGTTGCTGTTGATTCAATGCCAAAAGTTCTTGAATCCGATAATGGTGATGCTAAGACTAATATAGTTACTGGATCTTCTGCTCCCTCATCAGAGCCAGCTGTTTCATCTGCAGCATCGACGTCATTGTTGACATCACCTGCAAATACATTTACTTTTAGCAACAGTTTAAATCAAAATAATGGACCTGTTGCTTCAAGCGCTACACTTGCCTCTCCATTTCCATCTATTGGTACAAATAATTTTAGAAGTCAGAGTATATTCAGTAGCTCTTCCCTTGCAGCAAGCAGCAGCATTAGTGCCATTGCAACTTCCTCTAGCACCCCGGCGTTAATTGCATCCAGCAATAGCAGTTCCTCCACCCAAGTGGTGGCATCTTCATCTCCCACAACTTCCTCTTTCAAATTTGGATACACTCCTTTATCATCGACTGGCACAGAACCAGTGGAAACCATGACCAGGCAGGATGGAGGAATTGGTAATCTAGGCAGCACTGTCTTTGTAAGCTCTTCTGCTGCTGTTGGTAGCACAGGGAGTGGCATTCTTGGGTTTAGTTCCCTGGCAATGACCACTATAAAAAGCCAGTCTCAGGATTCTGTCTTTGGCACTACAAGTGGGTCTGTCCTTGGTATGCTGGCACCTTCTGCTACTAGTGGTTTTACAACTTCTACTCAGAGTCAGTCAGTGGGATTTGGTTCATCTGCATCATCCCCATTTTTTGGGTTGACTGAGAATATAGCTTTTTCTACAGGGAGTTCATTGTTTACTTCTTCAAATACCAGCGCAAATATTTTCAACTCGGGTACAACTTCTAGACAAAGTACCCTTGCTTCCTCTTCGGAAGCCAACCCTGTTACTGTTAGCTCCAATAGTACTTCAAGTTCTACTTTTTTTGCACTTTCTAGTTGGCAGCCCAGTACTGGTGGGGGTGACAAGTCTGGTCGAAAATTTGTGAGAGTTAAACATAAGCAGCGTAAGACGTAAGACCATTTTTTATGAAAATTTTCTGACACTGCTGCAGTCTGCACTTAGTGCTACAAATGAATAAACTCTTAAAGGTGACTGATTCCTTAATTTGGCTGTTCAGATAGCAATCTGGACAAATGATGCTATTAAAGCAAATCAACATATGCAAGCTTGTCATTGCTTCTTATAGAATGCAAGGCTTAGCTTTTCACAATTTTGTAATAGTATGATGTGATTGAACATAATCTACTGTACTTGTAATGGTTTTAGGTAGTTCTAGATCAAGATTTGGTCAGTTATGATGTTGACAAAATCCCTGACATTCTCGTTATTTGTATCATGGGCAGAAATAGGCATGAATTTATGGCTTAGCTGGTTGTCGCATAACTTACTTTTTATGGTGTAGCAATTAGTACTCGTGTATTCTGTGTTGTAACTTTGTATAAAGAAGGCCTTTTAAAAACAATAAAGAAAAAAGTACCCAAAAAACAAGGAGGGAGAAAGAACCTACTTGGGATAGTGTGAGACATTATATAAGAAGTTACTTACGGTGATCAATGGTTTCTCTAATTATTTGCAAGACCAAATACCAGATAAACCAACAGGAAGATGCAGAAATGAAACTCTGCAGCGACAGGTCCTGGGGTCAAAGATCTTTTGCTAGGTGAGAGATCAGGCTACCAGTTTCTAAGACAAAACCCTTCAAGCTGCAAATAGAAACTAAGAGCCTGTTTGGATCCTCTTATTTTTAAGCTAGAAGCTACTTATAAGTTAAAGTTAAAAAAAAAAAGCTTAAAAAAAGAAGCTAAAAACTGTTTGAAAATTACATAAAAATTTTAGCTTAAAAATTAGTTAAAGCACATATTTCAAGAAAATTATTTCTCTCTCTATCTTTATCGCTCTTCATTTTAAAAAAAAGCACACAATTCAAGAAAAACAGATAAGAGGTTAAAAAAAAACTCCTAGGAGGAGCTTTTTTCTTCATTATAAAAAAAAGAGTTTTTCGTTATAAGAGCTTTTTCCAAAACCTGTTTGGCCTAGCTTATGCTTATAAGTAGTTTCTAGCTAAAAAATAAGAGGATCCAAACTGACACGAAGAATTGGAGCAGGTCAAAACACAGAAGAATCTTTGGTGCTCTGAATCATCTCCATCACAATAAAAATGTAAAATTTCAAGCTCAAATTTATGGAAATATATTTATGTGTTTTGATGCTACAAGTTGAATATTTAAATTTCATGACTGTGTATCTTTACAATTCTCTTCCAAAGACATTGACTAATTGAAAAATCTTATTTATGCTTTAGTTATCCATACACTAAGTCATGGAATAATTTTTGTCCAGAATTAAAATCACCATAAATCAAAAAAATTAAAATATTAATAACAAAATTACTTTCTTCTTCCTCCACAATCATTCATATCACCATCTTTAATGTGTCCCTAACCCAACCACCGCGTCGCGTCCATTGCAGCTCCAACCAACCTTGCGCCGCCAGATCTGCCAGCAATAGCGCGAGCTTGAACTGAACCGCTGCAGTCTGGTCGCCGCACTGCAGGTTTGTGTTGATCACCATCCATCCAAAGATGAAGCAAACATGTTCTGCTCCACGTTTCCACTTTCTTACTGTTTAGGGATTAGGTTTTTTTCTTCTTTTTGCTTTTCTTCCTTTTTTTTTTTTTTAGTTTTCTAATTTCCTTATTAGCCCAACCCAAACTTTTGAGTGAGTGGGCCGTTTGTGTCTTTTATTATTATTCTCACATTTTGGTTTTTTTTATTAGTTTATAAACATAATTGATCTTCCTTTATTAGATTTAAAAGCTCAAACTAATGGGTTATGATAAAATAAAAGGTTTGATGTTTGTCATTTTAAATGACATAAGTAGGGATGAAACTGGGTCGGGCCGGCCTACAGGGGCCTACGGCTCGGCCTACATCAGGCTAGACCTGACCTAGTATATTTTGTATAATAGGCCGGACTCAGTCCTTAAAAAAGTCTGTTTAATAAAAAGGTCGTAGGCCTACTTTCAAAAGGCCGGCCCTATAAGCTTACAGGCCGGCCTATATTGTAATATTTATTTTAAATAAAATAAAATAGAGTAAATATGCCTTGAAGAAAAAAAAAGATATAAATTTAATCAATTGCAGTTATTTATAACTTAATTATATTCGATTATATTTAATAGAAATCTTACTTTATTTCTTATATAGGAGGAACCAACATCTCAACATGTTAGATTGTGTATATGAATATATTAAAAGATTTTTGGGAGAGGTTATACTTACTACAAATATCATGATGTGTTTGTTTGTGAGATTCATGTAGTTATTTTAATTTACATAGTATGAATTTGTTTGTTGGATCTAATGAAATATATGTTATTTAGTTTGAGCATTTTGCTTTTGAAAATGACTTAAATGCATATTGTATTAGTTTTGTTATGATTCATGATTCTGCTTGGACGTTGAAATTATGATTTCTGGTGTAGCAACATAATTTGAGTACTTTTTAAAGTTGATTCATGGTTCTGCTTAGAAGTTAAAAATTAACAGGCTAACAGGCCAAGTCAGGCCATTTGTTTTTTTATAAACGAGTCAAACCAGGCTAATAGTTAGACTCATACTAGGCTTGGGCCAGGCCAAATTGAAATTTTTTGACGTAGGCTTGGGCTTTTCAGGGCAAAGCTTGGCCTAGCCCAGCCCACTTTCACCCCTAGACATAAGTTATGTCATTTTAGTCATTTTAGGAGAGAGATAGACACAAAGAATAGAAATCATGAGAGAAAAAATAGTTGATTTTTTTAATTTAAATTTTAAATAAAAAAATTATTTGTCTATCTCTCTCTTAAAATGACACAACTTTATGTCATTTAAAATGACAAATATTTTTTCCTAAAATAAAACAATAAAAGAATAAAATTAACTAGTCTAGAATTAAACAAAAGACAAAAAAAGAAGTTTAAAAAATTAGACCGAAGGAAATATATTATGCTGTTATGTATTTATTACCTTTGGTTTATATATATATATATATATATATATATATATATATAGGGTTTTGCATCTATCATTTAACATGACCACAACAACTTTCCTATACACACAACATTTTGTGGGACCCGCAATTTTTGAAACTAAAAAAAAAAAAAACTCCGGCACGCAAAACGAATCTCTATAACATAGCACAATCACTTTTCCTACAACATAACTCTTATAAAACCCTTATATATATATATATATATATATATATATATATATATATATATATATATATATATATATATAATATATTATGATGTTATGCATTTATTACCTTTGGTGTGTGTACTAAAAAGTTTGACATCAAATCTTAACCGTTGATTTTCGTCAATCTGACGGTTATAATTTATAAGATTATATTTATTTATTAATTAATAATTTTCAATAAATTATAACCGTCGATTATTGAAAATTAACGGTTAGAATTTGGTGTCAAGAGATCATATCTCTCTCTCTCTCTCTCAATTGGCGCATGGGAGCTAAGCAGGTATGAATGAGAGCATGTGTTCGAATCTCTCCAGTATCACCTTTGGGAGGGGTTTAAAGCCTTAATCCTGGACCCGCCCCGAATCGAATTAGTTGCGAAGCAATGAACCGATTGGAATATTTTCCAAAAAAATAATAATTTCAATATAGTTATAAATGGTATTATATTATTTTTAAATAATCTTTTGATTATTTAACTTTGAGGATTGTCTTTAATTCAACTTTGGGTAAATTATAAATACCTTTCATTTGGTTTACTCTAAGATCACTTACCTTCTAATCGTTTTTAAATCATCTCCATTTTTTTTCCATCAAACTCCGTCTAAATTCTGATTTATAAATGGGAATATGAAAAAATACCATTGGTTATAGCATATGATCCAACTTTTTCTTTATTTTCAACGATTTGAAATTCAGCCTTGTACAAATATATATGCAATTATGTTGTTTAATATTTAGGAGTGAATATTCGTTCTCTGTTTATGCATGGGAGGAAATGAACAATTTATATAATTTTAAATGACGTTTGGCTCAACTTGGGTGAAAAAAAAAATCGCTAAGAGGTAAGTAATAAAAAAAATTAGAGTAGACCAAGAGAAATATTTAAACTTTACCCTTTAATTTTTAATAATTTCACGTGACAATGAGAATTAAAGAATTTCTAGTTGCGGATAAAGTTTACAATAAAAGGTAATTAAAAAAAATTGAATTTGAAGATGACAAATGACATAGAACCCACATACAGAAATTTTGTTTTATACAAATAGCAAATATTATATTAGATTATAGTTACATTTCACTTCAAATAATATGTATTGCTATAATTTAATCTAAATATTTTTAATGTTGTAGATAACTAAATCACGTTCTTTGGGTCAATAAACTATTGTTCATACTAATATCCAGCAAATATCAACTCATGCATTTTGGGCGCTTATAAGTTTTGAATAGATTTGCATAATTTTAAGAAAAAAGTATTTCTGCAGGCAACGAACATAAAGTTATCCTAGTGGTGAGAGATATGGGTAGCTATGTAATAAGTTGTGTATTCAATTCTGGTAAAGAATTTTTTCAAGCAGTAAAGATAAAGTTATCTCAAGTGAACTCGCTCAAAATGACGTCATTTTTGGATTATAAGATTAAAAAACTATAATGATAAAGACTAATATAATCCTGCAATATATTAAAATTATAAAAACACTTTGATTTTTGCCTCAAAACAATATTATTTTGGGCTCACCGAAGATAACTTATTTTCATTGCCTGAAGAAATTTTTTACCGAAATTGAACACACAACCTATTACATAACTACTTATACCCCTCACCACTAGACTAACGCTAGTCGCTTATCTTTTTATTCATTAAATGTAAAATTGATTGATTGCATTTGACCACAACCAATTTAAGTTAATTTTGATGATTATAAACGATTGAATGCATATCATCATAACCCCACACACACACACACAAAAATGCAAAAATCACAAATGTAGTATTCTTTTGTAGAATTTCGGAAGTTAAATTAAAGAAGCCTGTTTTTGGAGGAAAGAATGATTGGGGTGGTAACGCATAGCATAGATAGAAAAATGCATAAACGTTGTTTTATATGATATATTAGATTATTATTTTTGCTGGCAAATGGAATTGTGTTAGTCACGAAACTTCTGTTATAAGTGAGTGCGTTCCACTTCAGGATTCCAACTCTATTAGTTTACTTATGTTACCCTTCTCCACAAAATCTACGCAAAGATCAAAGACAAGTCTCATTCTTCAACTATGACTACCTTATGTCCTTATGCATGTACATCTTTTATCTTTTTGTTTGAAGAGTAGAGGTCTCCATAAAATTTAAAATTAGAGAAATCTAATACAGTAATTTAATTTTAGAGATGTATATCATAGACGGAAAATACAAATTGAATACTGTGAAAAAACAATGATATATATTTTAATGTTATAGAAATTGTTTTAGTAAATATAGAGAGAAATCAATAACAAAATTAGAAGTTAAATACTTATTTGTAATTACAAATTGCATTTTTAATTGCTTCGAACTCTTGAGTTGACCGATGTGCCAAGTGGCCTATTTTTAAGAAAAAAAAACTACTACATAGTCGTAGTCGACGCGCAACTTATGATTCATGAATTTCCTAGAGTTAGGCCAAGAAAAAAGGAAAAATAATATGTACTAAAAAAGGTGGAAAATAAACCCATAAAAAAATATTTATATAGGGCATGTATATAGATATAGCCCAAAAGTAAATCAAAGTATAACAAGTGGATTCGATATTAAATCTTAATTCAAATTTTTTAAGATATAGGGTTAATGACTTCTTTTATTTATGTGATCTTGTTTATTTTAACCTAACCAAATTATTCAAGTAAAAAATTCAAACCGACGACATATGTTTTAATCCAAAACTTAAATAATTAGGTTTATGGGTTTTTACTTAATCTTCAATTTGATACAGCTTGTTGTGACTGAGGAATCCTTATAGCTAGGTTACGGTGAACCTTAACTTACAAATCTTAATTATTTGGTGAACTTTTAAGAGGTTTATTCGCCATTTTCCCTTATATAATATATCCTTGGTTAATCATTCCCAAGTGACATTCAACTTAATTACTCATTCATAGACACTTAAATATCTAAGATTAATTTTAAGGGGATTATTTCAATGGGAAATAGGTGTGTAAATGGGTAAGACGGTCTAAGAAAACTTATGGCTCTACATTATGCCAAACTCGGCGTATTACATATAGTCTAATAGATAAGGCTCGGGTTTTTAAAAAAACATATTTAGAAAAGAGGCTATAGGTTTTCTTTTACATATCGGGCCTATAAACCTACGGCCGGCCTATATCAAGTTATATATTTTAAATAAAATAAATAAAATTATTATTTTAATAATTTTGAATAATGAAATAATATTATTTTAATTATTTTTTAATTATTGAATATCTAATAGAATTAAACCTATGTCAAGTCTTTTATTTTTAAATATAAATTAGACTAAACTTATAATTTGAGCCTGAACAAAGATAACAGACTAGGTCAGACTAAAGTATTTTACACAAGTCTATTAAGCCAAAGCCTAGTCTAGTCCACCCATTTACACCCCTAGTGGGAAACAAGTTCTCTTATGTTAAGAGACAAACAAAGTGGAGTCCACTGATTTTAAAAAAAGAAAAAGAAAAAGAAAAAAGGGAGGCACATTTATCTATGTGAGAGCAACATGAGACTATATGTAATACCTCAAATTAATAATAACAATATAATAATAATAATAATAAAGTAATAATAAAATTAATAAAATAAAAATTAATTAATAGTAACAATAAAAATTAAAAATTTAAATAATATTATTACGTGTATCTTAATTCAGCAATATCTAAGTTAATAAGAATGAGTCAGCTTTTAGTCAATCATGAGTTGGAGATATTCTGAGCCATACGAAAACTAAAAAGAAAAGGAAAATAATCATAAGAAGAAAAAGAAAATATTTATAAAAATTGTTAGAAATTTTAAAGTGTTACACTGTCATTTCCCTAATTTTAATACATATTGAGTATAAGACTCAATCTTATAAAATCGGACCGACCCCGCCAGGTCGACCCAGAAATCGGTGAACCGGTCATATAACTAGTCCAGTTTTCATATTGGACCGGTCATGTTACAGAACTGGTATGACCCAGTGCGAGCCGGCTGATTTTCGTAAAAATCGATGACCCGATCGGTTCAACCGGTGACCCGGTCCGGTCTATAAAAAAAAACTAATTTATTTTCATAAATTAATGTCTTCTATTTTTTTACTCTAAAACACAAATGATTTGTTTTCTTTTGAAATATTTGAATGATTTGTAGCTTATTAACTTACATAGATTATGTACCTACAACACTGATATTATCTTGATTATGCAATATACAGAGAATTTTGATTTGATTTATAGTTAGAGATGTCGTTTACTGAACTTGAAACACTAGTATCATAAATATTATATGTTTGATTGATCTTTTGTTGGACAATGATGTGTAATTTATTATTTTCATACTAAAATATTTGAAATTGATATATTTTTTTGAGGTAAGATCCTTTGACACCGATGTCAAATTTCAAATTTGACACCTCATCTTATAGTCGTTAGATCAAAAAAGATCAACGACTCTGATTTGTAAGCATATGACTCCATTGATCTTTTTTGATCTAACGGCTATAAGATGATGTGTCAAATTTGAAATTTGACACCGGTGTCAAAGGATCCTACCTCTATTTTTTTTACAAGTATTTAAGTATATTTATAATTTTTTAATATAAATTGTAGATTTACATATACTTACCGGGTTATGCGGTTAAACCAATGACCACTAGTTGAACCAGTGACCCAGTACCTGGACCGGGTTAATAACCGAGCTGGGTTAAATAACATTGGTAAGACTAGTTATAGGGAAAGTGGATTCTCTCATGTTAAAAATTCACATGATATAATCATATAAAAAATTTGTATTTATTTCTCTCTTCACAAACATTAAAGGGGTATATTGGATTGAGATTTTAAAGAATTTTTTTTAAAGGATTTTAATGGATTGATTTTAGACAAAAAAATGCATTGATATTCAATTAGGATTTTAAAGTATTGAAAAAAAATCACATGGAATTCAATTAGGATTTTAAAAGATTATTTTAGAATCTATCCAAATCTGTTGGTATTCAATTAGGATTTAAACAAAGACAAAATAATATTGTGGTACTCAAAAATCTGACTGTTTTGGTGGATTTTTTATTGGTATAGATTTCATAAGACTTTTTAGTGAGAAGTATAAATAGGATGCATTTTTCACAATCTCACCCTAACGCCTAGAATTTCTTGAGATTTATATATTGTAGTGCTTCAATGCTTTTTCTTCCTTTGGCGGGTCAACTCGCTCACAATCGGGTTCTGCCATTGGAGTTTCTTCAAAGCTCAAAAATAACAGATTTTTGAGCCATTTTCATCACAAAACAACCCAGAAATAACAACCCTACAAAATTCTAATCTAATCCATATCAAAAATAGCATATTTTTTAGCGATTTTTGAGAGATTTTGAAAGTTTAAAATATGATTTTGCAAGTTATGGGTCGCGATTTTTTTAGCACGAAAATGTATGATTTTTGTATTAAAAATAACATAAAACAGTGGGTAAATAACAGGTGAATAAAATTCCTCAAACTAATTTTCCTTTTATATCAATCAAACAAGATCGATTTAAAGAAATATTGAAACTTTCATAATATGAACCCTATGTTTCGTAACAATACATTCATGAATGAAATTACTTCGCTATAGGAAACAATTTTAAATAATTTTTGTGCCAATAGATAATTAAAAACTTATTTTTCAAAAGTCTCGAAGCAATTTAAGGTTTTAATGTATCGATTGAAAATAATTTAGTAATTTTCTAAACTTTCATGTAATAAAATCCAGAAATTCATATTCGAAATTTTCTTAGAATATTCAATGAAAAATACATACAATATTTGGTTAGAAAACTCTCATCACGTATAATAAAACCCCTAAGATTTCCAATATCAATAGCAAAAAATTTCAAACGAAATTTTATCATGAACTATAGGTTTTATATGCAAATTTTGAATTATTTTAATAAATAAAAAAATTGTTGGTCTCATAATTATATATGCAAGCTCTTATATCAAATGAAGAAAATAATTTTTAACCCATTGGTCAAATCCAAGAGCAGTAATTAGAAGATGCTAATGTGTGGAGGGCTAGTATAGATATTTGGAAAGCTATTGCTTAATAGGACATAAGTTTTACTGATTGAGAAAATTATATTAAGTTTTACTTTTTTTTATTAATATCATTGCATTTCTTTATTTATTTTTTATTGACTCTTGTAATTTTGAATGTTTGTTACAAATTCATATAATTTTTTAAAATCTTATAAATCTATATTATCATTTCAAATCTTATAAATTTTATTAAAATCCAATTTTATAAAATATTGATTGTAAAAAAAGTAGTTTAGAAAAGTCTTCAAAGTCAATGTTATTAAAATTGGCCCGGTGTTTGATCCGGTCTAGGTATTGGGTCTCTGGTTGAACTGCATGACCCGATAATTATATGTAACTCTATATAATTTATATTAAAAAATTATAAACATAATCAAATATCTAAAAAAAATATAAAAATTTCAAATATTTTAATATAAAAAATAATAAATCACACATTATTATCCAATAAAGGATAAAAAAAATATAATGATCGTGATACAGAGGTTCAGTAAACGACATCTCTAACTATAAATCAAATTAAAATTCCCTAACAGTGCATAATTGAAATAATATTAGTGTTGTAGGTATATAACCTATGTAAGTCAATAAGCAAAAAAAATACTCAAATATGTCCATTATGATTTATTTTTAAAAAAAATTGGATTTTTTTTTGGGATCGGGCCGGGTCTTCGATTTTCACAAAAATTAGCCGGGGTCGCACTGGATCGCACCGATTCTAATACATGGCCGGCTCATTCTTTGACATGGGCCGATTTTATTAACATTGTGTAAAGTCACTACATTTCCACATAATTTTTTGTAAATAATCTCTAAGGATTTTTTATTTAAAAGTAATCTTTTAAAATTCCAATCCAATACAACCCTAAACAAATGAGATTCAATTATAATCTCTCAACATTAATAAAAATAAGAAATATACACAAAATTTTTAGGAATTTGATAGATTAATCAAATTACTCAAAACTAAAAGCATAAAATGAAATAATTGAAATATAATGTGTTTGGTTTTGTTGTCATCTGCATGGCAAGCAGCAACACGGTTGAGGGAGGTTGTATACATGCGCTCCTTTTTTCCTTTCTCTGAAGCCCTTTGAACTCATCCACGCCTTTTAACTTCGTTATTTCTTCATGGTTTTATCACTTGTACAAAATCATGCTGTGTGAAAATCATCACAACTCAAGAGATCTATCTGCATTCTGCAAATCATCATCAGGTAATTGCCTTCTTTTCTCTTTCAAATTTCTTAACAAAACAATGTATCAAGTTAGGTATATTGCTGCCTCTGATTTAGCTTGCTTATATAGCCTCGTGTCGTGTCATTCTTTTTATCCATTATTGCAAATAGGTTATGATTTTTTTCTTTTTTTCAATGCCTCTGCAAAATTTGCTCTAGGTGTGTTAATGGGTATTTTGTTCCTTGAAACTGTTTTCTTTTCTTTTCTTTTCTTTCTTTCATTATTTTTTTTGTGAGTTGTTGTGAATGTTAAATACATTTATGCTTTCATGATTCAAAGTGAGTTATTGAACATTAATAAACTAATAACTCTATTCAGTTTAAATTGCCAGCTTGTTCTGCTATTTCTCTAATGTGGTAAGAAACGTTGCAATTTGTCTCATGTTTAGTTCAGATGCTTGGCTTGTAATCAATAAGAATATGATCAGTAAGATTTCTTTCAATGTCTAATAAGAAAGTTTGTTTCAATCTATAAAGACATTTAATCTTGGATCATAACATGCTTGCTATTTTTCTTGAGTGACAATTTCTCTCATTTGGTGAATAATTGGAATGTGACTGAAACTTTGAAAACAAAATGTGTAACAAATTAATTGGAGTGTGCAATTATTCCTGTATTTGTTTGAGTATGTGATTGAGCATTATCAATTTTTGAGAGATTATATTGTCTTTGAAGAAATCAATTTAAGTGAAAGGACTTGACTTGGAAAATTTTCAGGCCAAGCGTATATGCCAGGGAACAATTATAACTGCACTCCTTTAACACCAAGATCTAGATTGGAAAGGCTTTTGAGGGAAAGAGAGCTAAGGAAATCCTCAAGGAATTCTCAACCGACCGATGAGGCAAGAGATGGCAACAAAGAGGCAGAACAGTTTTATAGTGATTCATTCATAAGTGAGAATGAAATTTCGGGTACTAATAATGAGGAAGAGGTCTCGGAAGTTCTTACAGATAGAAGTCAAAGGCAAGATGAGCGGCCATACAAACAACGTTTGTTGGTGGTAGCAAACAGGTTGCCTGTCTCTGCTGTTAGGGAGGGTGTGGACTCATATCACCTTGAGATCAGTGTAGGCGGGCTAGTCAGTGCACTTTTAGGCAAGAAAAAGTTTGTCACCTTGCATTAATTGATTTTTAATTTTTATTGTTTTGGTGTGGTTCAATAGCTTGTTTCTGATTTATATATGTATTGTAACTCAGCTATGCTAGTCACCTTTGATGATGATCTCATAGAGGTCACGACAATGATAACTATCTTCAGAACTTTCTAATAATAACTGGTTACTTAGAGAAATAGATTGGATTTTTCTACTTTTAAAGTGGAGGTTGAATGAAGTTTGTTATATCTGTTGAAGGTGTAAAGGAGTTTGACACCAGATGGATTGGGTGGGCTGGCGTGAATGTGCCTGATGATATTGGGCAGAAAGCATTGACTAAAGCTTTAGCTGAAATGGTATTGAATCTTCTTTTTTCTTTTCTTTTTTTATAATTGAAGTTTGTGTCAATTATAATCCACATGCATGAAGGTACATGGTCTCCGATCATTGTAGTGATTATCAAGCTGGTCTTCTCTTTGCAATATACAAGACATATACACAAACCATCAAATACATTGTCCTCCTAATTATGCATTGTTAACTGCAGCGATGTATCCCAGTGTTTCTTGATGAGGAGATAGTTAATCAGTACTATAATGGTTACTGCAACAACATCTTATGGCCTCTATTTCATTACCTGGGGCTTCCGCAAGAAGACCGACTTGCTACCACCCGTAGTTTCCAATCACAGTTCGATGCATATAAGAAGGCAAACCAAATGTTTGCTGATGTTGTGAATAAGCATTATGAGGAAGGAGATGTTGTTTGGTGCCATGATTACCACCTGATGTTCCTTCCAAAATGTTTAAAAGAGTACAATGACAAAATGAAAGTTGGCTGGTTTCTCCATACACCTTTTCCTTCCTCAGAAATACATAGGACTCTGCCATCCAGATCAGAGCTGTTGAGATCTGTACTTGCTGCTGACTTGGTGGGGTAAGTTATTCATGCATCTCAGTGTTCGGAAACTCGTGCTATTTATTTAATTTTGATAAGGCAAGTAGGGTGGATTAGCTTTTATGTAGTATGCATACAGAGGGCATTGAAATCCATAAGCCCTCTCCCTAAAAAAATTAATGGAACTTTCTTATTTATACTTGGTGACTGTGCAATGCTTTGGTTGTTCTGGTGCTAGGATCTGTGCCTTCAAACAAGGTTGTTCCGCTTCCTTCAGAATATGCATATTGCATGAGACACCATCATGCTATAGCATTGACTCAATCTGCTCTAAAAGTCTTATGCTTTATAACAATGATGCAACACTTTTGTCTCTGCGTCCATATGGTTCACTATCTCTGAAACAGTTACCATTTGAAAGTGATATGTTTTCGTTATTTGTATTAACAGCTATTGTGAAAGAGTCCAACTTGATGTTGATTAGTGTAGCATATTTACTTGATCAGTTCCTCTTATAAATAGGCATCAACAACATGCACTTATAACAAGCAAATTCTGTTAAACAAAATAAGGTGTGCACACTGTGATAAGTACATAAATGTGTATCTAAATTTATCTTCCAGGTCAAGATTTACTGTTCTTTGCTTATTGCTTGCACTATTTAGTCAAAAATATGAAGCGGCTACTCTGTTGCAATGATTTTTAAGAACTAGAGACAAGTTATATATTGTGATATTAATATTTACATTTGTCTGCATCCCAGATTCCATACATACGATTATGCTAGGCATTTTGTTAGTGCTTGTACTCGTATTCTTGGGCTGGAGGGTACACCTGAAGGAGTGGAAGATCAAGGGAGGCTAACCCGTGTGGCTGCGGTATATCTGAACATATTCTCTTTCTTTTCTAACTCTATTTATCTAGCAGCATAACCGAAATTCCATCTTTTCTGTAGAATGTTTATCAGCATTAAGTACCTTACCATTGAATATCCATCCCTGATTTCCTTCTCATGATGGCAATGTTTTATTTTTGGGACTGTGAAACTTCAGTTTCCTATTGGGATTGACTCTGAGAGATTTATTCGAGCCCTTGAACTCCCTGAAGTCCAGGAGCACATGAAAGAACTGAAAGAAAGATTTGCAGGCCGAAAGGTAAGAGCTATATATGCTAAAGTCCCAAGTTCAACAGTTTGACAAATTGAGATTATTCCTTATTTTCTTTTTTCTGTTCAACATCTGCTTGTGTCTAATAAAAGTGCATCATTTGAATCACTTATTTTTAAAATCAAATGGACAGGTAATGTTGGGTGTTGATCGTCTTGATATGATAAAAGGAATTCCCCAGAAAATCTTGGCATTTGAGAAGTTCCTCGAGGAGAATTCACACTGGCGTGATAAAGTTGTCTTGCTGCAAATTGCTGTACCTACTAGGACAGATGTTCCTGAATGTATGTTACTTCTCTAGACATGTTAATTATTCTTCAAGCATTTTTATCCATTGATTGAGACTCTTATTTTTATTTATTTTGTTTGTGATCTAATTTATTTATTGGCATTGTTTTTCATGGTTGAGACACCGTTTGTCCTACAAATACAATTACTGCTTATATTGCCTAAGATTTTGAATTTTACAGATGTTGCTCTCAGAAAAAGTAAAAGTTAGAGTTTCTTTAAGATAACTTTAACATATTTAGACTAGATTACCAATTTGGTCCTCCAAAAATTCACTTGACATCAATTTAGTCAACCAAAGATTTTGATATTAAATAAGTCTTTCAAGGATTAAAAATGATCCTTACTTTTATGTACAGTAGCTTGATGAAGGAACATTTTGATGTCCCATTTTATTTCTTGGAGGACAAATTTGATGTCAAAATATTCAAAGCACCAAAATTGATTTCAAGTAAATCTTTAGAGGACCAAATTGGTAGTCTAGTCAAATTTACTACGAAGACTAAGAATGTAACAGCCCCAAACCCTGTAGCAAGATATTGTCCGCTTTGCCCCGCGCACAAGCACCGTCGAGCTCACGGTTTTACGTTTCGGGTTACCCCCAAAAGGCCTCCAACAAGGAAAGGTATCCACACCCTTATTTAAGGCATGCTTCGTTCCCCTCTCCAACCGATGTGGGACATTACATCCTCCCCCACTGGGAATACAGCGTCCCCGCTGTACACACCGGTCCAGGGCCAGGCTCTGATACCATTTGGGACGTTTTAGCGCGCAGAGACAGAAACATCTCCTCCTTCAGTGGCTAAGGGCGCTCAAGCGCGAACCAGGATATCGCGCTTAAGCGCCCTGGTGCGCGCTTAAGCGCCCATTTACACTGAAAGACCTGATGCTCTCTGCCTCTGTGCGCTTAAGCGCCCAGATGGAGGCTTTAGCGCCCGATAACGCGCGCTTGAGCGTCCCGTAGCGCGCTGAAGCGCGCGGGGCCTGTGTCCAACATACACTTTTATTGCTCTAATTTGTCATAACGCGAGGTACAGTGCTCCAAATGAGATGCGGTTCGAAGCCACGCGTAGCTAATGATTAGAAGAAGACATTTAATAACCTTTGGTCTAAGGATATAAGAGTATGATGTTAAGCTTAATTCATTTTATTCCGCAATGTAATATGGTTATGATCACGCAATTGGGCATTATAAATTCGGCATGTTTTAAAATGAAAAATTTATCCGGATTTTAATTGAACCCATGTGATTGTAACTGCGCTTAATATCATAATGCGATGTTAACAAACCGGTTCTAGAACGGGGTGTTACAAAGAACATGGATTCAACTTCTGTAGGTAAAGGCGCACATTGCCTCTATTTTAAACCCGAACCTTTATTATACTAGTGGGAAGAGTCGGATTTTCAATCAAAAGGAATCAATCAATTAGAACCACTCAACCCCACCCTCTTCCCGAACACATCATTTGTTTAGATGGCATGACTTTCCTTGGTCATTTTGTATCCTCTTAACATTATCAAAATCTTGTTTTCACCAATTACTAAAAAAGGGCAATCGCCGGTGCAAAAAGGCTCCTCGATTTTGCGAAGGTAAGGGTCAATTGTACTCAACCTTACCTTGCATTTTTTCAAAGCGACTATTTTAACCTATTAGTAGTCACTCAAAATTTCATATCCATGAATTGTAGTGCATTTTCTATTTTCCTTTCTTTTCTCCCTTGTAGTTTCTTCTTTATTCTTTGTTTGTTGGTTAAGATATTGTTGACTTAATGCTTTGACAGATCAAAAGCTTACGAGCCAAGTGCATGAGATTGTAGGACGCATCAATGGAAGATTTGGAACACTTACTGCTGTCCCAATACACCATCTGGTTGGTGTTATAAACTTCTACTTATGATTATAGACATATATGTCTTGCTTGGTGCTTGGAGATGCTATGAGTTTGGATGCTAGTATCAAGTATCTATTATTCAGATTCTCATTGAAAACACAAAATTTCTCATCACTTCTATGTATTAAATGCCTTTATTAAACATACTGATCACCATTACTGAGATTTTAACTATTGACTGTACATATAGTTAGAGAAGAATCTATCTATGTTGTTGAATAACAAGAAACAAGAGGCATATGATGTATTCCGTGTGTCTAATTTACATACGGAGGCTCTATTATATATATTGAATAAAATAATTACATCATAAAGAGTCACCGACGTGGGACTCTAACAGTTACAACATTACTACTCTATTTACTAATACTCACAACACTCCTCCTCTAGCTAGAGTTTGTAAATCATGATTTTCTTCTTTTTTTATCTTAGAAATATTCATGTAACTATAGTGGTTCTTTGCACACACTAGTCATGCATTTTGACTTGTTCATCATGCGTCCTTGTCCAGATTCCAGAAGATGTTACAAATGAAGTGAAGTCGTTCTGATATACAAAAAACAGTTGTTATTGTTATTGTTATTTAGCATATCATGTGAAGATTCTGAACCATCTCTTTCTATGGTTACAGGACCGGTCACTTGACTTTCAAGCATTATGTGCACTCTATGCTGTCACTGGTACTCATTTTCTGCCCAAACATACAAGATTTAGACCCAAGCTGGAGGACATTCTTTTGCGATATTTGGAAATAGACTTCATTTATCTTTCAAAACTCTTCCTCTATTGTTTATATGCTCTACATGCTTTAACTCCTCTGCTTATAACATGCAACTTGCTGTAGGAATAATTGAAAAATTATTCATATTTATTTTTGCTTTTTGGAAATGAATGATGGATTTCATATTTCTTGCACTGATATTTGGTTTTTTTAAGTTCATCAAGAAAAGAATAATTGAAGTACAACAAATTTATAGTTGTTTGAAATACTTTGAAAGAAATACTAGAATATATGAAAAACAATGTCAATATTTTTTCTTTGTATTCACCTTTTTTGGAGGATCAAACTTTGTGTTCACATTTGAAATATACTTCCTGCCAAACAAATGTCATGTTTTTCTTCCCCTTAATGCATTTAAGGGTTGACCTTAACTACTCCAGGGTATCCGAAAATGGCAACAGGTCCAGCAAATATTCCTTCCATTCATTATATTATAAAAGTCATCTTAAGTAGTTTTATTGAACTAGTATTGAGTATCCATTATATGAATCAGTCTGATTTACATGTTGTTTAGATGTAGCACTTGTTACATCTTTAAGGGATGGAATGAATCTTGTCAGCTATGAATTTGTTGCATGTCAAGCTTCCAAGAAAGGGGTTCTCATTTTAAGTGAGGTAATTCATTTTTTTAATGTCTTTTTTTGGGCTCCTTCTCTTGGGATACTCTGATATTTAATTGCTCTTCATATTGAGAAAGCTGTACTTTGTGTTTTACTTAGATCACCATAATTACAAATGATACTGTCATTAAGTATAGTAATTGTTTAGCGGTAGTGCAGGTTTAGCTCTTTTTGCAAAATAGTAAAGCATGAAAGCAAATGTATTGTCATTTAATGAATAAGACTTCCCTAACCTTAACTGGGCCAAGCATGCCAGGTCCTAAAAATACTAACAACGTGTGTTAGTCTCTGCATGGTGTCTGGGTTCAATTATGGGATTCGTGTGTATGAAAAAGTTACTATTGGAAGATGTCTCCGCATTCGGCGCCTGACCCTATGCTATGAGATTAGTCTCTCACCTATCGAATCCAATAAAAATAACTTGGTTTTAAAAATTTTCCAGGCTCCAGATTAGAGCTTGGCTTGTTGAAACAAAATTAGCTAACCTAAGCAGACAACTTCAGTTTTCTTTTTATTTGATTTTGTAGCCTGTTACTGAATTTTGAATGGAAAGTGTTGATTATTGGCTTCTTGTTCAAGACTCTAGCAGGAATGCAGGATAAAATTGTAGAACATTTCTTCTATAAAATGCATGTCTGTCTGGAAATATCATTTTGTAAAAATGAATTTTTATTATAACATTAAAAATCACTAAGTGACTGAGCTTTCAATATCGTTCAATTAATTTTGAATTCTTTATTTGTTATCAGTTTGCAGGTGCAGCACAGTCTCTTGGTGCTGGTGCAATCTTGGTAAACCCATGGAACATCACAGAGGTTGCTGCTTCTATCGGTTATGCTTTAGATATGCCAGCGGATGAAAGAGAAAAACGGCATCAGGTTAATTTCAAGCATGTGACAACTCACACGTCACAAGAATGGGCTGCAACTTTTGTGAGGTTTTAATCCCAGAAAAATGCCCTCATTTTGCTTTTCTTGAATCAATTATGTTCCTTACTTTATTTTCCCCGTAAACCCACCGTCCTACCTGTAATAGCAAGGATGTGGTGGAACAGTTACAGATGACAACTTGATGCCTTGAGACTGCTAATAACCTATTTTTTCCATTACATTGTTTTGACGAGGGCTATGGCCTGCTATAGCATGACAGTAAAAGTTGAGAAATTCTGTTCTATGAGATGCATATGTAATATCATCAGAAATGTTTAACGTGAAAGAAGATGTCAGAGAACTATAAAATCATTGATGTAACCTTACTCAACAACTTAAGTTTTTAGGTTGAAATAGTTCTTTATATGATATCAGAGCCGACGTGACTAAGTGGTCATGGATTCGATTCTCACCACCCCTATTCTATTAATATTTAATTTCTTAGCACAATTAGATTGTGTCTAATGCATCATCCACCCTTAGAGCCCAATGAGCTCTCGTGTGAGGGGGCGTGTTAGAAAAATAACTTAAGTTTTTAGGTTGAAATGATTCTTTATAGAAGATAGAAGAGAGGTTTAGTAGTTCTTTTTCTTTTTCTTTTTTCTTTTTTTGTATTCAACATATCAATTTAAGATGAGTAGTTAATTGACTATGTAGTTGTCGTCAAGAAGTATCAATGGATAATTGGAAATTCTGTCCTTGAAATAAGTAATAACTATATTGGTTGGTGCATTGGTCTAGATTCTGACCTTACCTTTTATGGTGTCCCATGCCACTTCTAATGCATTTCGTGATTTTTTAATCTAAACACATGGTTTCCTTTTTACACAGTGAACTGAATGATACCATTGTTGAAGCTCAGCTTCGGACAAGACAAGTTCCTCCATTACTTCCCAACAAAGTGGCAGTTGATTGTTACTCAAAATCCAATAACCGATTAATTATACTGGTAAGCTGTTAGATAACCAAACACTGACTAATGAACTGTTCCAAATGATTCTTCCTATCTTGTGCAATATGTTTTGCATTTGTAAAATAGAAACCAACTTGACTTTACAAGAAGTACAAGTGCACAGCACATGTTAAGAGATATTCATATGAGACCTTATATATTTCCACTTGCCTTTTGTGAATAAGTGAGAAGACCGCCTCTGATTTTCCATGTTTTATATCTTTTTGTTTTATTTATTCTTTTGTGTTTAAATTTCATTCAAGGAGACCTCACGCTATAAGCCTTTGCATTGATTCTTTGTTACCTCTTCTATGATGAGTACAATTAAGAATAATAATTTTGAAGATAAAAGCAAAACCTACCTATAAACACCGAGTTAAGAACACTAAACTGACTATTGTTACTTATCCTATGGTTGTTTTGTTTTGGATATCTGGCATAAATAGAATCTCAGTTGTATTTGTAGAATACCCTTTGCAGTAGCTGCTATATTTAAAGATTAAGAATGAGAACTTCCCAAACCTAATAGGATACCTAACCATGCAGATCTTTGAACCTGTATACCTAGTAGAAAGTGTTAACTTGGCCGCTTTTGTTTCTGTAAACACTTGGGTTTAAATTACTCCTCTTACCCATCTTCATTAGTCATCTTTTACCTTTTTAATGGAGAAACTGTTGTTGGACACCCCTTAATCCACCTAGAGGGATATCTATAATTTACCCTATTACATATTTTATCATTCTATGTAAACGAACTCCGACTTTCCATTCTTATTAAATTACAAAGTAACACGTACCTATAAATTATTAATTGAATTGGAGCATCGCATGAAGAAGTAAGTATTGTTATAATTACGAAGAAAATATTGTCAAGTTTTTTAATTTTATTTTTTGGTAAGCGAAAACATTGTCAAGTTTAATATGGTATATTGGTTGATGAGTCTTTCATTTATCTTCATTTTGTTTTATGCGTTGTAGTTCAATGTTGAATTGAATTATTATATTAAATCGTTATTTTTCATGTTTAATGTTATGTATGATCCGATCATATAATTAATTTTTTAATAATATAAACTTTTTACATTTGGGTTTTATATGAGTAATTACTTGATTTGAGATGTAATTTGAAGATATTTAATCAGTTTCAGGTATAAAAACTTGTTCTCTCTTTTTGCCTCTTTCTCTCTCTACATCAGAAAATCATAGAGATTGATCATTGGATATTGGACTAATATACCTGAGTGCAATTTGTGTGCAATTTTGTCCAATTGGTGGTGATTATTCTTCTGAGGGAAATGGATGTTCAAAGAAAAAAAGAAGAAGAGGTTTTTGTGAAGTGAATGTCATTGTCATAACTGCTCACAGCTTGTGTGACGCTCTTGGTATCATTATATGTAGTTCCTTTTCACCAACATTATAACATTTTGCCACTATGGCGCTGCAGGGTTTCAATGCCACTTTGACTGAACCAGTGGATGCCCTTGGAAGGGGTGGTCAAATTAAAGAACTGGAACTTACATTGCACCCAAATTTGAAGGAACCTTTAAAGAAGTTATCTGATGATCCGAAGACAACAATAGTTGTTCTGAGTGGAAGTGATCGAGCTGTCCTGGACAATGTACTCTCCAGAAAAGTTCGTCTGTTTTTGGATTTTCAGCAACATTTTCTTTTGCACTAACAACTACTTTGTACAGAACTTCAGTGAATACAATATGTGGTTGGCAGCAGAAAATGGGATGTTTTTGCGACTTACTTCAGGTGAATGGATGACAACCTTGCCTGAAAATTTAAACATGGATTGGGTCGATAGTGTAAAGGTAAATTGGCTACATGAAAACTAGTGTTTCATATATTTAGTTTCTCTGATTTCAAGTCTGAATTTGTTCATATTTTTATAAATTTCAGCATGTTTTTGAGTATTTTACTGAAAGAACACCACGGTCTCATTTTGAGCTTCGTGAAACTTCAGTTATATGGAATTACAAGTATGCAGGTATGTGACAATGTTCTTTGTTCTTCCCTATTCCTTTTCAACGTACTGATTTTCTTCTAATAAAATATTTGTGCTGATACACATCATCTTCGCTGCAAAAGTGAGCCTTTTATGGTATATTGCTAATTTATTTTGACTATTAATATTAGATGTTGAGTTTGGAAGGCTTCAAGCAAGAGATCTGCTTCAGCATCTTTGGACAGGGCCAATATCAAATGCATCTCTTGATGTTGTCCAAGGTGGTCGATCTGTTGAGGTCCGGGCAGTTGGTGTGTCGAAGGTACAAACAATTTCAGTTGGCCAGCAGAGTCTCTACTCTAGCCTTTTCTGTTCAGAAGCTTTATTTCTACATGCTAAGACCTGACCTTTTCTTTTTGCCTTCCTACTTGGAATTTTGATATAGGGAGCAGCTATTGATCGTATCCTGGGAGAGATAGTTCATAACAAAGGCATGAAGGCACCAATTGATTATGTCCTATGCATTGGACACTTTCTAGCAAAGGTGCTTTTTATATGATTTTCTATTATAAGTTGTGGCTTTGTGTTGTTAGAAACTCTTAAGCTTGCACAATTTAAACAACTAACACATGCATGAGATATATCATTTATTTTGTATTAAGTCTATCATGATTGACGTCAATAGATTGTTGCCTTGTCACATTTTGGTAGTTATACACAGAACTCAACAGTTTCTGTGAACCTCTATTATAAAGATTAAAATTAAATTCTCAAAGGGAATATTGATTTTAGATTGATCAAAATCAGTACAAATGACAAGTTATAGCTAAGACTTCGTACAACCTTCTATTAATTGATTAAGAAAAATAATGATTTACAAATTTATTGGTGGAAATCAACTGTTTCAGGATGAAGATGTCTACAAATTTTTCGAGCCAGAGCTTCCTTCTGAATCATCTTCAATAGCAAGAGCTATGCTATCCAATTCTTACAGGCCATCATCTCTGCCAAAATTTTCAGCCAACAAAAGTGGGTCTAAGGCATCTCGTTATAAGAAGCAACATTCATTGTCAAATATAGAAAAGAGTCAAATTGATTATGCAAGCGGTGATGCTTGGAGACCAACATATCGCGATCGAATATCACTACATGAAGGTTCTTCAGTGCTAGATCTTAAAGGTGATAACTACTTCTCTTGTGCTGTTGCACGAAAGAGATCAAGTGCACGCTATCTTCTTAAAACCTCACATGATGTTGTCAATCTTTTAAGTGACCTAGCGGATCATTCTTCATCACCATCAACTTGACTGACACACTCTTCTTTCATTTTAACTATGTGAAGGTCAGAAAGTTTTGGAAGGTCTTCTGTTGCCTTATTGCTACAATTTATTGTTTTTTCTTAGTGATTGTCTATTGCTAAAAGTGCTGACTTACTACCTACTCATATATCAGTTGATTCAGCAATGCCCTAGATGTCTCTTTGCTAGGCATAATCTGGCTAATATTTGTGTTTAGGATGCAGTAACCTTGACAATTACAAGACCCTGTGATTTGATTGCAGAAACCGGCAAAATACTTATGACATTGGTCAGTTACAGGGTGAGGGATACCCCTCTTCTCTCTCTTTCCAAATATTATTTTGAAGACAAATCTTATTTTGGTCTCTTACTAATCCTTTTAGCTGTTAATATAGTCTCGCATAATTCAATGTAATTTAATCCCTCACCAATCAACGTTCATTTTAATTTAGCTCCTTGATAGTATGAATGGTTGTCGCTTTTAAAATCCTACGTTGCATATATACACAAAAAAAGTATTTCTGCATCGTTAACAAATAACAACTAAAGAAGTAAAGCGTCATATCAGTAGCTTGTCACAAAATGTAACATACTGCATGTTAAAATTTCAGCTGCACTTTATAAATTGCAAAGCCACATCAATGAGATCTAGTCTTTCTATTGGTATAAGACACGAACATCAATTACAAAACCTGTAATCTCAACCTTCTGTAACACCCCGTTCTAGAACCGGTTTGTTATCATTGCGTACGACATTAAGCGCAGTTATAATCACATTGGTTCAATTAGAAAACCGGATAAATTTTTCCTTTTTAAACAAGCCGGATTTAAATAACCAAGTGCGTGATCATAACTATATATACTTCGCGGAATAGTGGGACTAAACTTAATATTATATTCCTGTTCTACTTGACAATACGTCGTTAAATGTCTTCATCACTTTAATTATCAAATTAATTCTAAACTCCTTTTATGATTCACATCTTCTACTATGTTATAGGATTCTTCATTAGCTACGCGTGGGTTCAAACTGCGCTCAAATCGGAGCACCGTAGCCAAAATTATGCATTTTCTAAGAAAAGGGTGCGAAACCTCCAGAACCCTCGCGTCCGTAGCGTGAGATCCACGCCCAGAGCGTGGGAAAACAGAAAGTTGACGCCCCAAGCGTGGGAGTGGCGCCCCAAGCGTGGATGCTACTGGCTGATCTCGTAATTTGGCGCCCCAAGCGTGAATCTGGCGCCCCAGGCGCCATCCACAGGGCTGGGTGACCCAAAACAAGGTCATTTAACCTACGTATGGTTTTCCACTCATAACTTGAGCTATACTCACTCAAATTACACCATTTTGGTCTCTATGGAAAGCTAAGAGAAATGTCTACAACTTCCATAGAGACATCAAAGTCCAATTCCATCACATTGGGTATGAAAATTGGTCAACCGGACAGGATGTATTTGTTTTCTCAACATTTCCCCATTTAAACAAAAGGTACCTAATTGATTCTCAGCTCAACCAATTCAATAACTCACTACCTAGAAAGCATGCATATATTGAATTTCAAGTAGGCATCATTTACAGTACATATTCATTACAAATCATGGAACTTAGCTCACAAAACGCTATGATCACTCCCTTGGCTCCCATCAACAAAGAGATAACCAAAGGTATGAGCATAGGCTAAGTCCATTCCAATATACAAATCGTAAATCTATCATTGCCTATTATTTACAATTCTATACATGTGAGCTACAAAACAACATGTATGATATCAAAATACTGGATCCTCATGCATCAACACTAGTCCAAGTATGGCCACTTGCCACTGGTGGCTCCTGCAGCATCCTTACCTGAAAGGGGGTCCCCACAACACGGGGTGAGATATACGAATATATCCAGTAAACCAGGGGTCCTTGGAGCATCTCTCCACCCCACAGTTCCATATCAGTGTAATAGCAATAACAATAATAATGCAGTAAATACATATCTATGCAAAGTGCAATACATCTCCAGGAGAAATCCCTCGAGCTCTCAAGCTGTCCTAAAGAAACTCAGATGCAAATAGTCCTACTGGCCAGCTAAACTACCAAGTATGATTTACGCATCGTCATGCAACATACCACATAGGGAACACCATCCTATGCCACACCAAATGCATACACATACGTATAACAAAGCATTACACTATTTCATTGCATTTATATACACTATAATTACCACTACCCTTTCAGGACTTGGTGGAACAATCAAGGGAATTACACCCAAGGTCCGAAGGCTTACCTCAATGCTTCAGTCAACCTTTGTTCACCACCAACGGTTCAGCAACCAATCAACTTTGGTTTCAACGATGACTTACAAGTAACACACCTACACCAAGGTGCCATAGCATCAATCACACTATACAATGAATATTCATATATACTCATTAATACCACAACAACTCTACATCCCAACTTAGCAAGAGCTTACCTATTCCAAGGAGCTAATCAAGCTCTATAGTTTGCTCCAATGGTTGATCACTCACGGTTGGTCCAAATGTCTCAATCCTAGACATCACAAGGATCCAATCATCAATCAACCAAGCCAACCCATTGATCATAATTGCAAGAAAACTCTTCAACAAGCATGATAATCTTGCAATATACCAAGTATAGTCATTTAACTAACTAGGCTCATTTTTACCGATTAAATGACATTCCTAGCATTTTTCTCAACATGTGCTAAGTCTCAATTCTACCACAACATAGCCAATTTACTCAAATTCTCAGAAAACCTATAACACTATTCATTCAAAACCCTATATCATGAAATTTCCAAGAAAACATGGTTCAAGGGTTAGAATCTTACCACCAATGGTCACACAACCAATGATTGATAGTTCCTCAAGCTTCAATGGAGGTTGAAGCACTCAAAATCCCAAATTTCACCAAATGGGCGAATTTTTTAGAGCCAATATCCCTCTCCACAATGCTCCTCACTCAAAACAAAGCTAGGATTATGAAAGAGGAGGAGATTTGGAGTGATTTAGGCTTTGGAATCACTCAAAATAGTTGAGATTAGCAATCTCTAGGCTTTCCCTCCTTCTTCCTCTCTTCTCCCTCTCTTCTCTTCTCCTCCTTTCTGTCGACGGGTTTCTGGGGGGAAAGTGGGTTCTTTTTGCATTTTATCACTTAACATAAGTTAAGTGGTGACATGTGGGTATCGGTTCATCTATCTATTTAACTCAAATAATTACCAAACTTTACCCAAAAGTCCGGAATATTATTCTAGGAATATTACTATTTTTATTTTTATATTTTGGGCACTTTCACCAGTACCCATTTATACCCCTTAATTTTCACTGAGTACACTTTTTAACTTCAAAGTGACTCAGATTCATTTAATTAAGCCTTATACTTAATTTTACTCACTAAAACATGCTTAATTATTTAATTACATGTAATTTGCTAATTAATTGGGTTAGGGCTATTATAACTTCCACCGTATTACAAGAGGCAAGGTACCAACGAATCTAAAGATAAATAGCATGTTGCGCAATTTGTAGATGACAAAAAACCAGTTGAACACCTTATGACCTTAAAGCCAAAAGTACTATGATACAGTAACAAACAGAAAATTAACATTTCTATTCGTCAATAGTTATCAATAAATGAAAACTTGAAATATGGTGACATACACATATTCAGTGATATACAATTAGTAAGGAAGGTGACCGCCTAACCAAAGTCTCAACTCTTTAATAACGCGCATGAATCAAGTTTATCCTAGGTGTGGTATTGAATGAAGAATTCAAGATAACCAATTCCCAAGCAAGCTGGGTAGTTAGATCAAGAATACAATTTACAGCTGCCAAAAAAAATTAACTCAATAAGGGTGCTGGCTAGTGCATAATGGTGTTCAAAGGACGACATAAACCACAATCAAGTAAGGTTCCACTTAAACAACTTGAATTTATTCCCAGGAGCTATTCTGCTAGTCTTTCTTTGTTTTGTTGGCACGTATGCATATTGTCTGAAGTCTTCAGCGGTTGTTGGCCTATGATAAAGAAAGAAGGTATATGGTCACAAATCATGATGTTGATATAAAAGTCAAAGGGACAATGAATGCCAGCATTATGCTTGAAATACGTTACCTATTATTACAAGTGTTTCGAACATCTTTCAGAGGAGCACGGAGGCCACTTGCACGAGAACCAGAAGAGCATCTAAAGGATGATATCACAGAGACAAATCTTTCCATAGACTTCTCAGCTATTTCTGAATAATGGCCTAGATGGGAAATTTTTGTCCCAAATTTTTCTTCAGCATTATTCTCTGTAAATGGTCTATCATCACTGTGATCACAGTAACCTAAATTCAAGAAGTCAGAATTCAGAGATACTTCCTTTCATGATTCTTTCAAAAGCAAGCATATGTATATTAACTACTTAAATATTTGACTCATAATTTCCTACAGGTAGCATTGTATCATCTATTTTCTTTAAATCATTTGTCTTATCATGCATAAATGTACCCAAGATTGTGGTGTTGCTAAATGAAGGAAAAGTTAAATGTTTATAATATAAATAAACCATGTCCAATAATAGTAATGTTCATGTTAAGGTAACTTTATTTGCTAGCGATAAAAAGCAGACCTTTCCTATTCCCTCTTATTCTCAACAAAATTTCCAGCACAAGTTTATCATACCCACAGGAAAACATACATATAATGCAGTGATCAATTTGAAAGAACAGCTACTCAAGCATCAAATGTCTAAAGCAAAAATTTATAAACCCTGCTGCTCTTAAGTACGATCTGACAACCCAAAATACTTCCTTCTAGGAATTACAAACCAACTCGTACTTCAAGGAGTAGCTGGAATCAATTTCATGAACTAACAATGTACTTCTATGTTTCCAAAAAAAAAAAAAAAGCAATGTACTTCTATCACTTTTATCATCTGTATTCTGTACTGAACATGTCCTTCTATCACTTTTTCCCCCTTCTCATAAGGAGTATGTATTTTCATGAAATTCATCTCCTACTTTTCCATTAGGGTTTATAGTCAATACTGATGAAATATCTATCTACTTCAACTCAAACAATTCGCTAAGCCTGTACTTTATTCTCCTAAAACACAAGTGGTCAATATTAAATTATTAATTTTGTTCCTTAAAGAAAAACTACAATTTAGAACCAATGAGTATTACATTATCAGTAAAAGTCAAATTGCCATGAAAATAAAACTAAAAGTGACATTTATAAATGAAGAACTAGTCAATCAGTGTACATAGAAGCTTATATTTGAGTTGCAAACACACTGTCATAACATATGATAATGCAATAATAACAACAGTAGCAGCCACCACTTTGAAAAGCAAGTAAAATGACAATAAAAACAAACTTCAGCAAAGAACATAATTGCGGGAGTAGCAAGACAATTAATACTAGCTAAACTACATAGATAACAGTATCAATTACGTAAGACATAATATATTACATCTCATTGAAATTCTGTGAACTATTTCGGGGTGGAAAGAAATATTAGCTAACAAATAACTTTTACTTGTGAAGGTGAAACCCACTAATATTATACCATTTTTATGAGGAGGTGAAGCAGGATGCATTTGCTTGGGCTGCAAATTTTCCTGGATAAATTCAAATCATCAGTAAATGAATATAATCAGAGAAAATGCTAAAAAAATAAAAGGTTACAAGTGGAAAAAAAATCCTACATTTTGAATATTGTCATTAGGGGAAATCTTCCTTTTCAAATTTTTATTCTTCAACTGGTTGTTACATAAATCACTGTCAGATACGGCATTTTTTCTCTCATCAATGAAAATGCCAGAGGACAAGTGATCTCGGTTCTTGTCGCAAACATTCTTTTCTGCTTGCTTGTGTTGAAAATAAGCGCTCCTGACAATTACCTTTCTTGTTGCCTCCCTGGTTTTTCCTTCAACTGTGTCAGGGACATTTGTGTCCTCAGAAACATTCTTTTCTACTTGCTTGTGCTGAAAATAGGCACTCCTTACAATTACCTTTCTTGTTGCCTCCCTGGTTTTTCCTTCAACTGTGTCTTGAACATTTGTTTGCTCATGCTCCTTATGCAACCCCAGACAAGGTTTATGAATTGGCTGCCTGGGCTGTTGCAGTATTGTATGTTCAGGACCTTTATTCTTCTCACCCACCATAGATACTTAATTGACATAGACAATGAAATGAGCATCCACTGGCACACTCAAAGGCATAATGGATTACAGTTTTCCATCCAAAGCAAATTAGACGTTTTATATTCTTACCTTGACATGGAGATTCCATAAACTCCGAATTTTTGGTGGCAAAACTGTTTTCAATCTGAACAAAGAAGAATATGTTAAAAAATACCTAAGAGCTTAACTACCAATGATGAAAACAATTTTCACTATTGTATTTCATTAGTTTAGTTCAAGCAACTTACACAGCTATTAGGAGGAGGGCCACTGCCACAATTCTCAAAGTCAACTACGGATGCAGCAGAGTTCTTTGTTTCACTAGCAGCAGCTTCTAAAGTCTCATGTTCCAGGGGACTGACAGAAGAGGAATCCAATGTACTTTGATTAGCAGTAGTAGGTGACATCCGAGGTGCTCTGAATTCCTTTTTTGCTTCAAGAGATGCAATACCTTCCAGGGCTAAGGAAAAATTACTTTAAGGAGGAATAGAAGAAAGGCAGCTAGCTGAAAAAGGCAGTATGTCATAAAATGCCACCACAATTATTGTTTTTTATACTTTATTGCCTCATCTTGACTATTTTGAATGTCATATAATTTTGTATCTAAATTTTTAGAGAATTGGTAGCTAAATCATCAGCAGCAGCAGGCAGTAGTATCCCTGTGAACCATGGAATGCAGCCCTGTATTCATCCCTTTTAAACATGCTAAACTAATTGAAATCAATCCAAGAAGAATGCTTCGGAGGATACAAAAATACTTGGTCAAGAGGTTCTTCTGCAGAGGCAGATCAATCTTTTTCTTCACACTTTCGGAATGAAGAGTTTTGATTTGAAAAGTTTCTGCAATTGCTAAACTGGCTGTAAGATTCTCACCCTGCCATTTCAAAAGAAATAGACATCAACCAACAATACCTTTAAACGAGGAGAAGACTAAAAGAATTTGGGGGAGCAAACATCCATGTCTAATGCTTACCTTGCTATAAAACATTTATTAAAAAAAAAAAAAAGGTTAACCATCTATTTATATTTTCCTTAAGTTTTAATTATGACTTCTTGAGCATGTAAGCATGTATCTCACAAAGCATGAAAAACTAATATGATGAGAGATAATAGTTGACTGAAAACATGTATGATGATGATACCGAAGAAAATCTTGTACTAGAACATCATAAGAAGGGAAACATCATCTAATTTATATGTAGAATTCACAAAAACTCATGTAGACCCATGCAAACACAAGTGCAACAGTAATAGAATAGTCTTTTCAGTTGTCGTCAATCCCATTACTATGATTTTCAAAATCCATTTTCCTTCCCCATCATTTGAATTATCCTTCATATTCCAAAATTGAACAAATGAGATAAGTCATTATATGACCAACGCATGCACACAAAATAAGAGATTTCACTTAACTAGAAACTAATCCAATGATTCAAAACACACACAGACACACAGTTTCTACAGATGAAGGTAAAGAAGAAATTGACGATGTACCTCAAATGGCATTTTGGTAAATGGATCAAGATCCCCTTTTGCTATTCCTTGTGCAATATTTTTTGGCATAGGTGTATCCCAGGTTAAGGTATGATTTCTAGTAAGATCTCAGATAATAGAACAAAATGGAGCAGAGTTATGTCGATACAAAATGGAAAACCTAAAAAATAAAGGATATGGGCCTAAAAAGTCTAGCTCGCCACCGATATCATCAGGTATATGAGACAAATGGACAATATTTTCATTAATTGGATCATAAACCCTTTGATATTGGAAAGTAAGTATAGCCTTCTTGAATGACTCTTCATAAAAGGGAGGCACAGAAACACCACTGTATCTCAAGTGCTTAAGAACCTGATACATTGCAATTGACATTAGGATTACAACAAATTTCATATAGAACTTTCCAAAACGATTTAAAGGAGATATATCATTAACAAAGAAAAAAAAACCTAGTAAAATGTATCAGCCACACTTACCTTGTCATAACTTTTGAATCTTTTAATGCTTGCATGGGCCCTTTTGAGGCCCATACCTGGCAATGACTGAAGATAGTCACAACCACTCAAAATACACATTTCAAGAAGCATTTGTCGGTTGAACCCTTCAAAACTAAGCTCCTTATTCTTTTGTAGCATGGAATACTGAAACTGAACACCTTGACCAAACTTGTCCATTTTAAAGATAATCTAAATTTTAAAGGAAGAAACAAGCCAGTCAAAAACCAGTGAGTTTATCAAAATAGGAAGAAATATATACTAGTAATACAGATAACATAAGACACTTATGTGCTAATTTAAGCCTGGTCAACTCACTCTTGGGCAACCAAAAGGTATAAGATCAGAGTCTTCAGTTATAACTGCATCAACCTGTCCACTAACTGCCAAGAATGTCATCTGGGCATCTGCCTCATAAGGAGCAACAACATAATGCACATTCTCCTGCTTCAAGACCTTCCACAAAAAAACAACTTTTAGGAGAAGATGTAATTGTTTCATTGAAGAAAACCAAATGATTTATGTTTGCGTGTGTGTGTGTGTGTATCATCTCCTCCACAACAACCACAACAATATATTGAACTCCTTTCTACCTGAATTAGTTCAAGTGCAACCAGAGGTGAAATATCAACAGCTTTCTGGTAGCACTCGTAGGCAGCAGCAGAATTTCCATCTGACTCGTGTTCAACTGCACGTGCAAAATTATCCTTTCTTACCCTGCACTTATAGTATAGAAAATACTTGTTTCATTGGCAAAAGCACAACAACAATAAGGATAATCAGATTTTTAAGTTCCTAAGACTGCGCAGAAATCAAAGTACTCCTCACAGGAGCCCGTGTAATAAAGCTCATAACCGCTATCTCTTCCTATCCTTTAATAGTTAATAAAATAAGAAAAGAGAAACTAAAAATTTCAGGCCCCATGAGAAGGTGCTATTTCAATTACAGGAAAAAGATTGGTTTTTCAGTTGCTTGATTTGGATTTTGGAAAATTATTGAGTTATTTATCAATTCCATTACTGGGTCACTGAGAGTATTCCGTCCTCTATATTACTCAATAAACCCAATTCATTTTATATCAATATTAGAAGCAACAAAGAAATCAGACAATGACAAATAGCAAAGCAAGCAGGTGTGGGTGTGGCCTTTAGAACTGAAGCAGAAAAATTGAGAAATTCAAGTATCCATAAAGACAGTGAAAATTCTGGTTTATGCACCTCAAGATCATAAACCTGACACTAACGCTATATTTTCAACAAATTTGGCATAGGCATAAGAACCTCGTGTACACTTGAACACAAACACAGAGACAATTTAAGAAAGTTTTTGTTCAAAATTCTCAGCCTATATCATTTTGGAAATAGTCCTACATGCAGATCCATAAGTGAAAACCCAAAAAAGGAGCAACTAATGCAAACGTGGGCTGTTGTAACAAGCACAATATTGAATCCTACTTTAAAGTCCGAAGACAGTTCTTTACATGATTAAGGAAAAATAAATTAATAATAAGATTAGATAACTCACATATAAAAGATCTGAAATTTAAAGAATAAATCAATAAAATATATATAAATTCATGCTAGTAACAATTAAGGCATCACTCCACTCAACAAAACATCGGACTACTTTTCTTTAGCAAAAAATACTTAAAAACAATATCAATTAAAAAAATACAATAAAATTATGTTGTAAAGACATATGTAGTACCTGGCACGCTTGTTCTCTTGTTCACTCTTCATTGGTAGAAGACCTCCATCGAAGACTAGAATAGGCTTAACACCAAAGTGGCGCAGCAAATTTACTCTATGCATGCAATACTCAATGTGCCTTAATCATGAGATATAAAAAATTCTCAGTTAAGCCGTCAATAAATTACAAAAATCATTTCTTATATTATTCTTTTCCTTTCCTTTTCTGCAGTTTCAAAAGCCCTTCTATTATTACACTATTAGGACTCATTAGTTGTAGCTTTGCAGCTACATATATAAAACACCACACCTGGTTTGCAGTTAAACCTTTTTTGGTTGGCCCTATAAATTCAATTCAATCCCATTCAAAAAAAAAAAAAATAGACAGATTTAAAAATAATAATAATTACTAGCTAATTTTCTCCAAATAATAAATCTAATAAAAACCCAACAAAATAGTCATAAACCAAACACTAAAAATCGGGTTTTACACCTTTGAAATGCGAATCACATTTGAACACACAATGAAACGAATTACATTAGACATTAAAAGATGCTAAAACGAAGACAACCCATTTGCTTATGTGCATTGATAAACCCATTGGTAATAGCAATAAACGGAAAGGAAGCAAATTTATTTATGGGGTTACCCCAACCCACTTTGTGGGAAAAAAAAAAGAGGACTTGACCTAGAAGTGGGTATCCCTTTGCAGAGGTCAGTGCTGCAAGATAATGCACCTTTGTGGAGCCAAGAATAGGTGTCTACGGCTACGGAACAACCCTTCAAGTCTTTGATGTGGGTTGGAACCATGATCGATTTCAATTGCGGCAAAAGACCCTGAATTCCCATTCTTCGTTTCAGAGTGTACCCTACTTCACTACACGCCCCTTCATTTCATATATGTGCGCACACAATAATTTAGCGGGAACGCGTTTATTAGGCTTTTTTTGACACGAGATTTCCCCCAATTTTTTTTCTTTTTGAAAATTATCACTATAATATGTTTACTGTTAATCTTATCTGATAATTTTTTTATATAAAATAACCAAAAAATGTGTTTTAGATAAAAATTATTTGGATATGAATCATAATAGACACTCTGGTATATAGTATGTACGAATGTGAAATTTTAAATATGTTTTAGTTTATAATTGTATTTGAAGGACTTGATACAATTTTTTGTAAAATTAATCGTCAATAAATGTTGTACCAAATATATAAAGGTAATAATAAATGAAATGTTTTATTTATTTTGAAAAGTAAGAAAATTATTTTGTTATGTGTTTTTTTTTTTTGGTAATTTGTTATGTGTTTTTTAGTCCCTTGTGTGTGGTTTGCTCCGAAAGTATTTAACTCCTGTATTTTTTTTTTATCACTTATCTCTTACGTAATTTTTTTTAAAAGTAGAAACAACACGGGGGAGATGAGTGATTGAAAAAAATAAGGGAAATTTAAGAACCATGTTGCAGGAATGGCACTGTTCATTCCTGCAACAAGGATACGGCGTCGTATCCTGACTTTGGTCTGATTTTTTTTTTTTAAGCGTGGGACCCACACTTGATTTGTGTGTGTAGGAAAGTGCTCTTGTCATGTCAAATGACAAAAAGGGAACCCAAAAAATAAATAAGAAAATAAGTGATGAAATATCAAATCATAAGGTTTTTGAACATTTCCCAAACTTGAAGTGAAAAATAACCCAACAAGATAATGAGATATATAACTAGGGTTTATGTCCGTCCTGTTATATGATTTATTTTGGATTCTCTGAATATACAGCTTTTACGTGAAGCCCACTATTTTAAGAAGAAAAAAATAAACAAAAAATGTGACACGTCTTTCAATGGATCAGTAGGATGGAGTTTTATCTTTCATGTAACATAATAGTTGCATTTTCCATATAACTATTACAAATTAAGGGTGTTCACTTCAACATCCACTATAATTTGATGTCCAAGAAAACACTTTTAATGCCTCCCTCTGTAAAAAAAATTAGAATTGAAATAATCATTGTTATGTTTTTTTTTTACACTCTTACGGTTTACTTAAATTTAGATTAAATAGTGTAAAAAAATTTAATTATATTTTAATATAAATACATGGGGTAAGTTATATTTACAAACTGCGTTATGTATTTTCGAGAATACATTTCTAGCCGAATCTATTTCCAAAAATACATAGTGTAGTTTGTAAGAGTTTGTAAATGTAAAATTTCCCTAAATAGATTTGTTGCTTCTATTTTTGATATTTTAATCTTCTGTTTTTTAAATATTAATTTCAAATTTATTAAAAAATTATTAGATAGAATTAAAAAGAAATAATAAACAATTAGGATAATAATATTTTTTATTTAGCAATAAATATATATATATGATCAGCCCAATAATTATTGGTCTGAATCACACACGTTTGAGTTTGCTTCAATTGATAGAGATATGAGTTGGATATGGTTCTACTAAATGAAGGGTAGTGGGCGAGATGATCTTGGTACTCCTACGAGGTGATTGGGATGGTGTGTTGGTGCTTGGGTAGTATGAGGAGATTGGAGGCGGCATCTGCAAGGCACTTTGACACTCAAATCAGTTCAATATTCAAGTAGTTCAAGTATTGATGGATAGATAATCTTACATATGCTAAATGTCTCTGTATTTATAATGAAGTGGTGCCTAGTTGATGCAGTCTTTGTATAGCGTATTCATTTTCATTGGTTGGGAGGAGTAGATTTCTCATGTTATAGAAATGTTACTACTAGGTTAGGTCCTGGTAGATACTGCGGCAAGCTTTTACTGTCATTTAGTCTTTGGTTCATGTGGTGATAAGCTATTATGAGTAACTGATCTTGCCAGATCCCACTTGCTTGAGCTACTGGTAGCGTATGTCAGCGCGAGATGCTCAGCTTCATGCGAGATAAACGCATTCTCTTGATGGCTAAGCAATGGTTTATGGGCTTGTATAGCCTTTCACGAATTAAGCTTCCATCTCGTGTAGTCAGATATGGATCAATATATAACAATAATATATTTAAATATACAATTGACAAATATGAAAAGATACATATAAATAACAAACATAAAAATAAAGGGGTTTAAGTTCCTCGTGTTATAGGAAACTTAAACCCCTTTCCGGCAAACATAGCCCTTCGTGGGCTTTATTGAAAATTTAAAAAACTAAAATAAAATAAAATGAATAGTTGGTTTTTTAGGGCAAATTATATAATACCACCTTGTACTTAGGTACTTTTTAAAAAAATCACCTTGTATTTTTAATTAAAACAACTGTTCACTTTATATTATAATATTAAATCAATTAACCATATTTACTAATTTTAAGACAAAATTAACCTTGTATTCAATCACCACACCTGTAACTGCATCAACCACCATTTTCCTACTGTTAAATGAAAAATAAAATAAAAAATTGGTGATCACCATTGTAAAGATAAAAAGGGAATGATTGTGAAAATTGGAAATTAGCATATGCAAAATTAAACAATTGAACTACTTCTAACACTAAAAAATGAGAAGTTTTCAATAGGCAAAAATAAAGGGAGTTGAGATATGCATCAAAGCATATTGCAAATCTAATATGCTGGTGCAATTAGAAACATTCTTTGTTTTTAATTGGTTGATGACAATATTTTACCTTTTTTTATCGTTTTGTGTGTGCTTCAAAATTGTGATTATGAGAATCATTTAATTGTCTGTAAAATACTTGATAAAAAACCTAATTCAAAGCTACATTATTGACTCGTGGCAAGGATGGTTCAAATCTGTAGTCTATAATATATGCACGGTTTTACGGTAGAAACGAAGCATCTGAAATGACATGGAGACTTGTATTCTCAAGGCATGTAGAAAACAGGCCTTTTTTTAAGTTAGATTTAAATTTTAATTCAAATTGAAAATTTCTTACCCTTGCTAACTTTTATTTTGTAACCATTGTTCCCTTTCTATTTTTCTGATGATGATCACCATTTTTTAATTTTTTCATTTAGATGGACGATGGACTGGCATTGAAAAATGGTGATGGATAAGAGAGATGGAGAAGTTACGGGTGTTGTGTGATGATTGAGTATAAGGTTAATTTTGTCCTAAAATTAATAAGGGATAGGATTCGTTTACAATTTTTTTTTTGCAAATTACACTAAGTACGACCGGTCATACACTGCATGATTAAAGTATGACCGGTCGTACTTAGTGTAGTTTGTAAGAGTTTGTAAACAAAAAAGTTTGTAAATATAACTTGTCCTAATTAATAAATATATTTAATTGATTCAATGGTATAGTATAAGGTGAATAATTGTTTTAATTAAAATTACAAAATGACGTTTTGAAAAAGTACCTAATTACAAATGATTAAGTTTCCCGTAATACGAGCAACTTAAACCCAAAAAATAAAATACCCATTTATTTGTAATGCATAGAACATTATTGAATTAATAACCTATTAGCTTGATACCTCAACAATGTGGATAGCGTATCTGAATTTAATAAAATTATTTAACAATTTACCTAATAATAGCTCACCGTCCTCTCCATAGGTGTCTATAATCCTCAAATGTAGCTCAATGTGCGCGTGACTTACTTAGGATTTGTTTGGATGGATTTGTTTTTTTCAAAAGCTATTATTTTCAACAACAAAAAATATTTCTCCCCATAAATTCGTTTGAATATTTGTTTTAGAAAAAAGTAGAAGTCACAAAAAAATTAAATTTTTTTGTAGCTAAAAATTTTAAATTATAAAAAGAAGAAGTTAAAAGTTAAATATTTTTTAAAAACACAAATATGAACAATTTTTTAATAACCTAATTTCTTAATGTTTTCTGCTATTTTCCAAGAAAGGTTACATATTATTCATCAATAAAATCCTTACATTGTCTAACAGTAGCAAGATTTAAATATACGTTCTTGTAGGATATAAACTAAACACTTAGCCAACTATGTTCATCTTTGTTAGGGTTGGCAAAACGGGCCAACCCGGCTCGACCCGGCCCAACCCGCATTCAGCCCGAAAAAATGGGTCGGGTCGGGTTGGCTCGAAAAAAAAAAACGAGCCAGAAAACCCAACCCGGCTCGGGTTAGGGTTGGCTCGCGGGTTGGCTCGATAATCAGGCTCGCGGGTTGGCTCGTAAAAAAGTTCACGGGTTAGCTCAAAAAAAACTCGCGAGTTAGCTCGAAATGATGCTAGTGGGTTGGCTCGCGGGTTGGTTAGCTCAAAATATTGGCTCGCGGGTTGGCTCGAAAAATTTAATTTTTGTGGTTTGTTCTCCTGTATAAAATTATTGTATTTTGCAGTCCAACTACAAGTAGAGTAGTTTACAAAATCCAAAAACATTAAATGAAACACAAACCACTCCACGAATCACAGGAGTCAGTTATCATGATTTTCTGAATTACTCTAACTCAAGATAACGATAAAACGTATATAAAGCCAAAAAATAAAAAATAAAAGAAATTCATTATATATTTCAGCGATAAGCATCTAGACTCAAAAGCCAATCATGAAAAAAAGGACCTGCAAAAGCGACCAATATAGTAAAGTCCATCAGTGGAGAATTCATCAGTAAAGTCCATTGTATTTTATTAAAAAAAAAAAAAGAGTAACCCGCGAGCTGGCTCGTTTGAGCCCGGGTTGGCTCGGGTCGGGCTAAATCGAGCTAGCAGCTCATTTTTACCAACCCAACCCGACTCGTTTTGTGTGGGTTACGAGCCAACCCGACGGGTTGACTCATTTTTGCCACCCCTAATCTCTGTTTGCAAAAGTTAGCGTTTTTTAGTCCATATAATCATGTATTATGTTTTATTTGCTTTCACTTTGGTGTCTTCTAAGTATATCATAAGAAATAAATGTGTCTTTTGAGTTCATGTAATTTTACATCCATTGCTTCCATTTTTTTTTTTTTTTCTCTTATAGATATGTCTCTCATTATAATATCAAGGGTCATAATTTCTTCTACAGTAAATATCTCGTGTTTCGTTATTCACTCATTATATTGGTCTTGTATAGGAAATTGCACCTTAATTCATTGTACATTTGTACTTAATATCGTCACAAACATGGCTTAAGGTGATGAAATGAAATATGTTAAACGGACACATTCTTCAATGTATAATTTAATTACAATATATTATAATATAACAATATAAATAACAATGGAAAAAGCAGAAAAGTTGTGAGGAAGGGAGTAATGGGAACATTAACACAGTGAATCTATTTTCTCTCTCTCTCTCTTCTTTCACAACCGACAACCCTATTCTTCTTCGTTCTGATTGATTTTCCCTTTTTAAGGGTTTGCGAAAACGAATTCCTCTTCATATAAATGTTCCGATTGATTCATCGTCTTGTTTTCTGCAAATAGGTTTTGCAGCTTCCACCACGCGTTGATAATAAGGAGCTCCATTTCGTTCGGTTGGTTAACGGGGGCTTAGCACTTAGCAGAGCGCTTCGCACGTGGCTCTGATGAGTCTCTGCAGCCGTTAACTGTTTACACCAATCCCATTCTGCATACGACATGTGCGAATTGATGTTTTACTGCGAGCTTAGTTTCAGTTTCAGTTTCATTTCCTTGAATCTGATTCATTTCTTTCTAATTGAACTTGTGTATTTTTTAGTTTTGCTGGGAGACCATGCCTCGTAAAGGAAACTATAGACTCGATTACGACGATGATGATTATGACAACGACTATGATTATGATGTTGACATAGAGGACTATGGTTAGTTTGTTTATTTTAATTTGTTTTTTATTGATCAGAATGATGCATGCATGAAGATTTACTTCTATTAATTGCAATGTGGGTTTAATCTGTATCATTTGTTATGCTTATTGAAGACACTTCAAATTCTTGAATGTTGGTTGTAGTTATTAAACGGTGATGCGTTTTTAATCACTTGCTAGACTTAGTTTGTTGTTGTTCCAATTTGAATTTGAATTTTGTTGTAGTTATTATTTAGTGTGGTTTCAGTTCATTCATTGTTTAGTTATCACGTAAGTGGTAATCCCCCCCTCCAAAACAAAATAAAAGAAAAAAAGAGCTTACAAGGTGTACTTTAAATCTCCACTTGCCCTAGAAAGGGCCGGGTTACAAGATGGTGGTTATGTTTGTTAGACATCCTGTTATTGCTATTTAAGTTTTGTTAGATTGACTCTTTGAGTTTTGACTCTTTTTTTATTGTTCATAATAAAGTTATTAATGGGATTATTAGTTATGCATGTTTTTACAAATTTGTAGAGTTTTTTCCATTGTACACTCTATCTTTAGAGTAACAGCTGCTCTTCAACCCACTATGCCGCTATAGCGTTTTTGGAGGTGGGGGATCCCTTCTGTACTCTGCCATCAACTGCTTTGTCTAAAAGGCATTACTCGGGAGTTCTTTGATTAAGGATTATATTTCCTTTAGCAAGTATTTGCTTTTGCATATATTTCGTCCAAAGTGTTGCTGGTGCCAATAATTTAATGAGTTATATGATAAATTTCTATATAACAAAAAACACAAGTGATATGGATTAAGCAATTATTTTTAAGGTGAGATCTATTTGGTGTTTCACAAATGTTGTTAAATCTTTTTATTGTACAAACTTGTAACATTTTTTCTGCTGTAACAGGAGAAGGACCTGATACAAAGCAACAGACTACTAAGCCTGGGCTCTGGCAATGCTCCATTTGCACTTATGACAACGATGAGAGTATGACTTCGTGTGATATTTGTGGTGTTGTACGTCGTTCCTTGGTTAACATTGGAACTTCCAAGACTAACAAAACAGGTACTCCAGTTATTGAAGAAAAATTTAGTTTACTGCTGGGATTTTACTTAGTTTGTATTTTGTATGACGAGGGGATTTCTTTTACATGGTCTAAATTACTCTCTATCTGTCCCTCTTCCTTTGTGGCTTAGGGTTTGGGGGAGGAACAGTGAGGTCTGAATATGGTTCATAAAGTTATTTCATCATACTGTTCTGATATGGGAAGATGGAACTTTTTATATCTTGGAATAGGAAGTTTCTAAATTAATCTAGCTTCATTAATATGGAAAATGAGTTAATGTGTGAAATAATACAAATCCATGGGATATTTTATTTCTATCCTCCATCCCGTGGAAAGATAAGCTGAGTTCAAAATCTTATCTGAAATTCTGGTTTGTTTAGGTTTAGGACCTCTAAGGCCAAGCATGGTAGTAGATGCCAAAAAACGGAGTTGTTAAAACTGAAAAATGATTGTCATCCCTCTGGCATGGTAGGATTAGATGTGGGGAGGAATTAAATCAAGAAAGCAGCAAGGCTTTCCTGTCTCTCTGTTTATCAGAAATGGCAAATTCTGGGAAATGGCCATGTGCAGGACTGTTAGAGGAAGCTATATACACAACCGTATAATCCCAATACAACTTTAGGGGCAAAGAGTCACCGGGCAAAGAGTCACCCTTAAAGATATGAGCATTTCTCTTCAATCACATTCATCAAAGAGTTGCATAAACTTTGCCACTAAGCTCATGTTTGGTTCAGCTTAAATCTGGGGAAATGATCACCCCCCCCCCCCCCCCCCCCCCAAAAAAAAAAAAAAAGAAAGAAAAAAACAACCTACCCTCCCAAAATAAAAAAAATCTCTATTAGGAAGCTGCCAGTAAAGCAAAAAAAAAGTGGTTCTTTTCCCAAAATAAGTTAAACAAAAAACGCATCAAGTTTCAGCTTTATTGTTTTTTACCAAAATCTTTATAGTGAACTGTGGAGAACTGATCCAATAAAAGGATACTCAGTGCTTATCAAGAGCCCCTAGAAGATTGTGCCATAAGATATTAGCCTCTTTACAATGCAAAAATAAGTGATCTTGTTTCTGAGCTATATCTGCACATGACACAAATGATATTAAAGTGGCTTGTATTTAATTATGGGCTTGACCCCAACATGTGTACTGAGTCAAAAAGCCCATGGTGCAACTCTACAAAATATATCCAGTGGTTGGTAAATTGTTCTGCAATTACTGTTCCTTCATGACAAATACACCACTCCATGAAACCCCAACTTGAGAGGGTAGGGGTGGGAGAAATCCTTGTATGCAAGAAGACTTTTTTGGATTTGAGCCCATTCCTTTGTGACAAATGCTTCCACTAAATAAAATTGTAGTTTCAGTGGAATTAGTTAACTATGATGATGCTACAACCTTTCTAGAGAGTGATGACTATCATGATGCTGCATATCATGTTCATGGAGCGCTGTTGAGTGGATCCAAAGTGGCAGTTTGGTTTAGATGCCTATTACAGGAAAAAATGCCAAGCTGTACCTCATAGGTTTCTTACAAAGCAAAAGAATGACCAACAGATTAAAATAACTACGATAAATTGATAAGTGATAGAACTCAGTAACCAAAGAGAATCTGGGAGAAAGTTTACTGTAGAAGATAAGAGAGAGGAAGATCTAGTGACTGAGTCTGTAACTATATATTTCAGATATCTAATTCTGTTACACTATATATATATATATATATATACACACACACACACACACATAACTGTAACGAAGTCTACCTTTACTGATAGCTGTCTGTTAAATTGAAAGCTGAGACTCGTTTGTTTGGTTTTGAAAACTTAAAGAAGGAATTCAACTCGGTCCTTGAAAATTTATCATTTTACGTCATCCAGATAACAAAAAATATTGAACTGAATGAGGATAAAGAAATTGCAATCAAATTTAAGGGTGGAATATAAGATCTAAACTCTGAGACAAGGCTAAAGGAATAAAATCTTGCCAAAATTAAGTGAATGCTGACTTGATCTTGTGATATAATTCACGTGGTAGAGTTACCAAAAGGGGGTTGCCAACTTGCAATCATGAAGAGCAGAAGTTGCTTCAGTTTCTCACCTTCAATAGTTCTTTAAGAAAGAGGGTGCAAATGTGTTTATTATTTCCGCTTTAGGGCCATATGGTCTATGAAATTTAGTTGAATGTATGAGGGATTAGAGAGACAGATGGGGAAGATAGAATCTACAAGGGAAGGAGACATTTGTGTTATTGAGCTTGAATTTTTGTGGAGGGAGAGAAAGGAAACTTGGAAAATGAGTACGTTATTTTATAGTTTAAATCTACCAGAGAATTTCTGGAAGCAAAAAAGGTGTATTGGGAACATGAGAGAGGGCAAGAGGGGGTTAGGTAAGGCAAACGGTCTAAACTGTACGAAATATACATATATTTTTTATTGTCATGTCCTTAATAAATAATATATTCTATTATCATTTGTTTTTAATTTCTTCAACTTAAACGAGACTGAGTACATGGAATGAAAGTGATGACAACTGTGAAACTGATGATTTCTAGTGGCTGTTTTATGGTTGCTGCTATGAATTTTAAGGGTTTCCGTATTCGTTACAGAACTTACAGGAGTTGAAAGAAAATTATGCTTTCTCTATACATCAATCTTTTTTTCTTTCGCAATTTTAGTGCCATACCTTACAGGTGCTTTTTTAGGATTGGCTTTTACATTTGACTTCCTTGCCAACTTATCAGTAGTTTAGGGAGCTTTCTTTACTAAAAGGAAATGCTAGGGCAGATAACTGTCGTTTAAATCTTGCCAATGCCAAATAGCCATCTGTTCATGAGACTTGAATGCACTCCTTACTTTTTTCAGAATTTTAGGGATAGGATCCCTCACTGTTTCTGGTTTTTTGTTTGGTAATTCCCAATTTATTTATTAAGGAAATAAGGATAATTATCAAAGAATTTACTAAGAAAGAGCATAGCAGGAGGATATGGAATCCTTGATGGAGGAAAAGCCAGAACAAAATAAAACCAAATAAGCAAACATTATAAGAAAAACAACAAGATCTCTTTTCATATCTGATAAAGGTGGGGAGGGGGAAGAGGCAGAGAGAGCCAAAGAATATGAGAACTCATATATCTAGCGCTCTGTATATCCCACATTGCTTAGTGCTAGGTTTACAACAATGGCCATGATATACCTATAACCCGTTGAACAATCTCTTTGATGCAGTTGAAGACACAAGCAAAACTTCTGGAGCATCCAAGTTGGCAAGGTCTCTTTTTGCATCATTGCCACAACAGATTCCCAAAGAGATTGTGTTATTTCCAAAGCGGGGTGATGGTTTTCAGATAGATGGAAGTAACTTCTACAAGCTTGAGAATGTCCAAGGAGAATTTCATGAATTTCATAAGCTTGTTAATACTCAAAGCAATCCCCATTTAAACATAGGTCTTCACTAGTTTTGATTCAGGATGTGCGTGTGTAGTGTTAGAATAGTTTATATATTTGAGTGTTATGCAATAATAATTAGAACAAAAATATTTATTAGTTGTAGTTCAACATTTGTTTAATGACATGCCATGTTTTCGATTTTGGAACTCCTTGCATATGAGAGCAAATCTTGTTTTTTCATTTTTAAATATAAAACCATGTTTTTCTTGGTGTGCAGCTCCTTTCAATTTTGATGTTCCATCCCCAGATGATGTGGTTTGTACTGGCCTACATTCTTCCAAAATGGGTTTGAAAGGTATCCCTCCATCAACCAACCTGATTTCCCTCTAGCAGCTCAAGTTAGATGAAATATGTTTAACCTTTTAGAGAGCTAGTGACCATTATTTTGAAACTGAAAACTCATGCATACCATTTCTTTGTGGTTTACTTTACCAATCTTTTTTGAGAACTTCCAAATTATTAAATTATTATTATTTTTTGGACAGAGAAAGAAATATTATTAGAATGGCTGGGAAAATTGCGAGAGGATAAGTAGCATGTTTGGATTAGATTAATTTTTTGGTAAGAATAGTTTTTTTAACCCCAAAAGCTCTCTCAGTAAGCCATTGATCATAAACTATTTTGATTATGGAATATGCAAACTAAACACTCGCAAGATATCCTTCAAAGTAAAAAAGAAAAAAAAAAACCTGAAAGAAAACAAAAAGGAAAATTTCAACAGACAACCCAAAGAAAAAACGAAAATGGAAATCACCACAGCTACCCCAAAACCCTTATAGATAACTCCCTCCAGAAAAATATCTGAAAGAAGTGAAAAAAAAAATTAGGAGAAAAGAATAGTTTTTCCATTTTTATTATCATAATGTTTTAATTCCTTGTGCATAGATATTAATCTATCTTGTTTCTTTATGCTTGCAGACAAATTTACCAACTCTAAAACTTCTCGAGTTTCATCAAGCATCACAGAGAGGAATGAACTTCCTATGCAATCATATGGTGAAAGTTCTGACAACTTATCATCCATGATGCGGAAGAGCAGGCAGGATAGTTCAGCTGAAAACAAGCTTTCCAAAAATGTGGCAATTGATCTTGAAGCAAGTGATAAAGCTTCAAACAGCTTACCAGCATCTTTACCAAAGGGCAAAGATAGCAAATTGAATAATGTAAATTCTTCCAAAAATGGTACAGTTGATATTCAATCAGGAGAAGAAAAGTCAGGTAGTTTATCTGCACTGCCAAAAGTAAAAAAAAGTGATGAGATTAGTTTCGCTTCTATCAAAGTTGGAAAACCTGAAAGCCTTCCCAGCGATTTTGACAACATGGTTCTTGATGTAAGATCTGGAAATTCAGATAGTACTAATGCTAAGGGAACTTGTCCACAAGTTTCTTATAAGCCAGAAAAATGGATGCTCCCACAACAAGCTGAAGATACATTGACTCAGCTGAATCTTGCAATTGTATGCCAATAGCTTGTTCCATCGTATGTTTCAGGAAAATATCTTTTGGAATCAATGTCTTATAGCTTTTTATTTGTCGATTGTAGGTTGGCCATGTTGATTCTGGAAAATCAACACTATCTGGTAGGCTACTACACCTATTAGGACGAATTTCCCAGAAAGAGATGCACAAATATGAAAAGGAGGCCAAGTTACAGGTAATTTCATTGTGGTTGTCATTTTTATACTTTTAAAGCTTGATGCTTTTGAATTCATGTGCCAACTTCCGCTCCCCTTTTTTGTTAATCAGGGCAAGGGATCCTTTGCTTATGCTTGGGCACTTGATGAAAGTTCTGAAGAAAGGGAAAGGGGAATAACTATGACAGTGGCTGTTGCTTATTTTGACACTAAGAAATATCACGTTGTTGTGCTTGACTCCCCTGGCCATAAAGATTTTGTCCCAAACATGATTTCTGGGGCAACACAAGCTGATGCTGCAATTCTTGTTATAGACGCTTCACTTGGTTCATTTGAAACTGGTATGGATGGTAGCAAAGGACAAACAAGGGAGCATGCACAACTTATTAGAAGTTTTGGTGTTGACCAGGTTATAGTTGCAGTGAATAAGATGGATGCTGTGGCATACTCCAAAGATCGATTTGATTTTATACAACAGAAGCTGGGAATTTTTCTTCGCTCATGTGGATTCAAAGATTCTTCTATATCATGGATTCCTATGAGTGCCATGGAAAATCAAAATTTGGTGGCATCCCCTTCTGATCCTCATTTCAAAAACTGGTACGTCTCTGATTAGATCTTAACTTTTCTTGGTGGGTAATGAAGGGGATTATGGAATTGTGACAGAAGCAGTAGAATAGAATTATTCAAATAAAAAAACCTAGGCAGTTTTCCTCTCTGCTATTTAACAATTTGGGGGAGAAGTCAATAACAAAGAGGGATGGAAGGGTGCTTTTAATGATAATTTATGTTAGAAACCATAGTTTTGAAGTCTGAAATCATAGATGAAACTTGATATTTAGTTCGTGGTGTCAGGGGCCCAAAATTAACAATTGCAATTTACCTGAACAATATATAGTGAGTGACTTGTGTTTTATGGAGTAGATATTGCAATTATCAAGAAACTAAATCAGTAAGCACTTTATATTGAATTGGCTGCATGGTCACTACTAAATCTTAATCAACTAGAAAATACTACAGTAACAAATGGTAATATAGGGGCAGTTTGGCAATTCTCAAAACTGGTTTAGGACTATTTAAGATAAACTACTTATAAATTCAGGTTATTTTGTTGCTAGTTTTAATTTAAACTCATTTTGGTTAAAATTTGTTTTAAACCAGTTCTTATAATCCATTTTAATTTTTTTTTTTAAAATAAAAAAAATTACTATGCTTATTGACCATTGAATGAATGAGCAGTCCCTTCAATTTTATCTTACCCGGTAACTACCCTTAGATCTAGTTGAAGGAGAGAGAAAGGGAGAATAAAACGGAACAGAGAGTTTGGAAAAAGTTGGACCAGAAAAAACCAACTTTAACAGAACATCAATTAAGAGGACAAGAACACTCATTTGAAAGTTTAGGTATCAAGTCCCATATTTTTTGAAGTTTTAGGACTAAGGTGCACATGAACCTAAGGTGGAGGGGGTGAAATGGACTTTTCTCTGTTAGTTATTTTCTTCATCTTCTGTTTGCTCTGCTGATACTTAAGTGAATTTTAGCACTGAAAATTTAGAAACGGAGAAAATAGAGCTCAATTTAAATGTTTTATGAGATTAAGCTGATTGATGACATGATTTTCGAAATTTAACATTCAACTTTAATGAGAATAATTCAAAACCAACAAATCACTTTGAAAAAATTGATCATTTTTCACATATTCTGATGGGCCTTTAATAAAACATCCAAGCCCATTAGATATATATAGATACTTAGGGTGTGGTTTCTTTAGGCATGAATCGAGTATTTGGTGAAAGGGGATTTGGTGAAGGATCTCTAGGGATCTCTTGGAGCCTAGGTATTTGGCCTTTGAGGGTGAGTTGAGATCTTTTTGGTGTATCTTTTCTATTTCATAGTTATTCCTTTTGTAATTCCTTTTGTATTTCATTGTTATGTTTACTGGATCTTGTCCTTTTAATTCTGGGTTCCATCATATTCTAAGGTATTCTATTGTCTGTCATTAGCAGGTTGAGTATATTAAGAAGGAAATGGTGATCGTGAGTCATAACTTACTACTAAGATCAAGTTATGTTTGTTGTGTCTTGCTACATAATCTTTCTGGTTGAAACGAATATCTCATCATTATCAATATAACATAAAAAAACAGTGATAGCTTGGTAATATCCTTGATTCCTGACTAATTTCATTGCAATCTAGGTTTGTATTTGGTGTGATTGCAGTTTAGCAATTTACTTTCATTTTAGTTTTGAATTGTATGCAATTTATACTTCTAAAATACGATGGTTGTGCTCAGGTATAATGGACCTTTTCTGTTAGATTCAATTGATTCACTCCAACCTCCTACTAGAGAATTCTCAAAACCTCTACTAATGCCGATATGTGATGTCATCAAATCACCTACACTTGGACAGGTGTCTGCTTGTGGTAAACTGGAAGCAGGAGCTCTTCAGAGTGGATCAAAGGTATACAATTGGGTAATGTTATGGCTGTTACTGAAAAAAAAAAATCAAATGAAAGATTCATATTTTTAATTCTCCAAATTAGAAGTGTTTTGTACTGACCTGGAACTAACTGAATTTCTGCTAGGAATTAATAATTTTCAGTTTAAGTTTTTTGTTTTTTTTTTTGTGTGTTTTGAAGTCATTATTTTTAAAATGTTCATTTTAGTACTTCAAGTTACAACTGTCATCAATTTATCAGTTCAATTGTTGTCCTTATAATGATTTTCCATTCAAATCTATTAAATAGTGATGTGGCACTGTTGCGGTAAAGTTTTTTCCGAAAGACTACTGCATAAATAGCCATTTGGTATATAACAAAATAATCTGGATGAAAAATTACTATATGGACCACATTGTATGTAGTTGGTAAACTGAGTGCTAAAATGAAAAAGTTGAAAAAGGACACCCGAAGTGAGAATATAAGGATGATAAACTTATATAAGCCTTAATTTTTTAATGAAACATTTGTTTACTTGATGAACTCATCTTATATTGTTCTTCACAAGTGTGCCATTTTTCCTCTACATATTCCACAAAGGGATGTGTTGAGATATATAGTCTCACATTGGTTGTATGTGCAACTAATGTGGAGTTTATAAGGCCTTGAGCACTCTCACCCTTTGAGCTAACTTTTGGGGTGGTGTATCCCAAGGTTCTTTACATGGTATCAGAGCCTCGCCGTCCCCCACTTTCTCTCGTGGAATTTCTTAGCACAGGTAGGTTGGGCCTGTTGCATTATTCACTCTTCAAGCCCAATGGGCTCTCGTGTGAGGGGTCGTGTTGAGATATATAGTCCCGCATTGGTTGGAGGAGCAACTAATGCGGGACTATATATCTCAACACGCCCCCTCACACGAGAGCCCATTGGGCTTGAAGAGTGGATAATGCAACAGGCCCAACCTACCTGTGCTAAGAAATTCCACGAGATTAAATTAAAAGGAATTCCTTTTACATGGTATCAGAGTCTCGCCGCTCTCCACTTTTTCTTGTGGCGTTTCTTAGCACAGGTAGGCTGAGCCTGTTGCATTGTCCACTCTTCAAACCCAATGGGCTCTTGTCTGAGGGGGCGTGTTGAGATATATAGTCTCACATTGGTTGTATGTGCAACTAATGTGGAGTTTATAAGGCCTTGGGCACTCTCACCCTTTGAGCTAGCTTTTGGGGTGGTGTATTCCAAGGTTCTTTACAGGATGTTACTGAGATTTTCTTACTAAGTTTAGGAAAGTTATCCTGCATGAAAAGACTTGAAGTTTAGAGAGTAAATCAGATAGGATGAAATTGTGTCGGTCAGCAATAGACCAGTGTGAGCATTAATTACAATGATTCAGTCCCTAATGTACGCAATCCTAATTTGGTTTGTAGTTGACTCTACTGTATATACCTGATATGGTATAATAAATACCGAAGATATTCTATAACATATTCTAACTCCCCTCCTTAATATGATGCACATATATATCATATGTGCGAATTCGCCGCATATGGGGACCTTGATATGAACCCACCCCTGCAAGTCTACCAAAGGAGTAAAAATAGGAGGATCTGGGCTTCTAGTGCAGAGGATGGCCCAAATGAAAGAGCTGATGATGGTCCAACGGATGATGGCCCAAGTAATTATCCTGTTGTTGTTCAAAGTGCCCTCCAACAGAATGCAAGCGTGGAAGAGTGTGGGAGAGCTAGTTAGTTACGGGTGTAGTGGTTAAGAGGGGAGGAGGGGTGATGTAGGAGGACATCTGAGAATATTGTTGTAATTGGAACCTTGGGAAAGAATGAGGCCTCTCCAATTGTCTCTTAACTATCCTTACTTTTTCTGCATTGTTATTTTCCTTTTCGAGATCTGTGTATTTTTCCTTTTTTCTTAACTGTCTCTGTTTAATAGTCATCGGACTGTAATCGTTCCTTGATGAATATATGGAAATCTGATTATTCAGGCCAATATTTCCTTGTTATTTGTGGTGAAATCTGTATTTGACTTGTTGGTCCGTATAAGACCTCTAATAGCTTGAGTGAAAATATGAACAAGTTAATGGATCCGATGGTCAATATTGCAGGTGGTAATGGTGCTGCAAAAGAGTACCATGGTGGCCTTCTTTTTAATTTTGTTTAATTTTTTTCAGTCTTCGGATGGAAAGTATTGATGTGATTGGAGTTTGAATTTTGTTTTTATAGCCTGGAAATTTAACCTTTTTGTATGTGGTTACTGTATAATATAGCAGTGCATGGAATGAAATCACATGCCTAAACTCTTCTAACACGACATGAAATAAAACTATTTTCTTTCTATAACTGTATCATTTATATATTGTAGGTCTTGGTTATGCCTTCAGCTGTTGTGGGGACAGTACGCTCATTGGAGCGTGACTCTAATGCCTGCAAGGTTGCAAGAGCTGGAGATAACGTAGCTGTAACATTGCTAGGTGTAGATGGAAGTCATGTAATGGCAGGAGGTGTACTATGCCATCCTGACTTTCCTGTCACAGTTGCAAAGCATTTGGAGTTGAAAGTACTTCTCTTGGATGGTGCAAGTCCCTTATTGGTGGGCTCTCAGGTGTGTACGATATGTATGAGATATTCTTGAAGTTTATTATCCAATTTCTATTCATTGGGGGAAAAAAATTCAATTTTCTTTTTCTATACGTGCAGTTAGAGTTTCATATACACCATGCAAAGGAACCTGCTAGAGTTTCAAAAATATTGTCAGTACTTGATCCCAAGACTGGTAAGGTAACCAAAAAGTCCCCACGCTGTCTCACTGCAAAGCAAAGTGCAGTAATTGAGGTAAATAAACAATGCAAAACTTGCTTTTTAAATAATCTTACTCGAATTTTTGTTCTTCTTCGATGCCATAGACTCAAAAAAACTTGGAATGACTTTTATTGTCTCTGATTTCAGGTGATTTTGCACGAGACAGTCTGTGTAGTAGAGTTCTCTAGTTGCAAAGCTCTTGGAAGGGTGTCCTTAAGATCATTAGGAAGAACAATTGCTGTTGGACTTGTGACAAGAATTATTGAAGATGAAAATTAGTTTATGATATTCGTCATAAAAGATTAGATGATGATAACATGGAGAATTTAATGGTATTTTCAATGAACATCTTTGTTTGCCATCTAAGTCTAGAATTAGTTATGCTGGCAGACAACGGGCGGCTATGTGACTCTTGTTGAGTTTCTCGGGTCAATATGTGAATTATGTAAGAGTAGTCCAGTTTTTTTTTTGTCACTATATATGTATCATAGGTGAGCGTTCCTCTTCATTAGTCTGGAGTTCTACTATAGCAATCTAGTGGGATTAGAAGACAGAAAAATGATGTATCCGTTGGATGTAATTGCTTTTATTCTTTGATGCCTAGACTTCAGCATAGATTGATCTGCTTATAATAAAACACTGCATCACTTGTTTATATTCGGGGCTTGCAAATCATGAAAAACTCCCGGTGTTGTTCTGGGGAAGGCATTATTTTTCTACTTACGGTCTCTGGTTAAGGAATGTGGTCTGGGACCATCCTGTTGCTTGTAGAGAATCAATGAATGATCCAAAATTGGATCAAATAATGTCGGTGATTTTTTATTTTTGGTGAGGCTTTGGACCTATGTTGCGGTTCTGGGGGAGGAGTCTTCTCTAGTGGAGTCGTTGTGGCTCCCTAATGGCCTAATGGGTTATGGGAAAGCGGGGAAATGAATTTTTCCATATCTGAATTTGACCTATGTTCTGGTGTGAGAAGATTTTATTCATTCATTATTAATCAATCCTCATGTTAGAGTTGCATAGAAGCTTGATTTACCTTAATGAATATATATAGTACTTGTAAACCAGAGAAGAATAAATGAGTCATTTAGATGATTGACCGTTACAAATTTGTAATTAAAAGTTATGAGTGGTCGAGATTTTTTTATTTTCTTCTTAAAATGAGATATGTTTATTTTTCAAACTTTTTATTTTTTAATTTTTTTAATTAACTAATTAGTTGCTCTTATTTTGTTTTATAATTTTCAATTAATTGTTTGTTCATTCTTATTGTGCTCTTTCCAACTTAGCTTCTCTTACTTGTTTCTTATTCTCGAAATATTTTGAGTTTCTTGAAGCATTTCTATGCACAAATGTTTGCATATAATTTCTCACTCCTATAGAATACTTTTTTTTGTAGCATATTTATTTGTACTCTATAAAAAAAAATGCTAGAATTATTTAGTTAAAAATTAGAGAGTTGAGGAATCAATTATAAATCTTCTATTTTTCTGAGAGATTCCTAGGTCGGTTATGCAATGAACGCGTGTTTATTTTTTTGTAGCGCTTGTTATTTATCATGATAATGTTAAGTTTACTACTTTTTACTTTTGTTTTTAATTGTAATTCTAGCTTAACAATCTTTTATACTATCATCGTTCTTCATGGTTGATCATTTAGTATTTGCAAATTGCAACATACGATCCTTTACATTCTGGTATGCAATGCATTTAGAGTTTTAGATGAGTAAAAAAAAAGAAAAAAACATAAAAACCATGATATGTGATGCAAAGAAGCATGTAACACGTACCTCTCAAGAGTTATAGACTTCATATTTTTTGACGAAGTCATGAATTAAGTGATTATAGTAAACTGTATTTATTAAGAATTCCTTTTGAATAAGTGTATTTCTAACACTACTTTCGTAATATTACACATATTTAATATTAATTACAGTAATATAATAAACAATGTCTATCAAAGAATTTCAAATAGAATCAAGTTTGTGTTTTTTGAGCTGCAATTTAAAAGATGCAAAAAGAATAAGATTTGTTTTTTCAGCATTGATGGTTTAATAAAACATAGAATAAAATGTTGAGCACATAAATTTTAAACAAAAAAAGAAATTAGAATATAAAGCATGTGAAGTGTGAACTATAAGAGATTCATGTTTGATTCAATATATACAATAGTTTAAATGAATTATTACCGGCGTAAACAAAAACACAGATTTAGGGTTTATTCACAAGAAAAAATCACTCTAAGACCGATATATCCCTTATGGAAATGCCTCCCCTTCTTTTAATAAAAAGGATTTTAATGAATGAAAATATTGAAAATATTTAAATTAAATTGGAATTGAATCAATTGATATAAACAACTATGAACCAATACTTTAAAAATTAAATTGAAATTGAATTAGTGAAATTATAAACTAATTATGTACCCGTTAAGGTATTATATTTTTTCAACTAATTTTGCATAAAGATTCAATTTAATAAGTTGATTTAATCAACTTATGATCTATAAATATGTCAATATTTGATTGGTAATGTTCGATTGGTAATGATTGATTGGTAATATTTGATTGGTAATGATTGATTGGTAATGTTGATTGGTAATTTGATTAGATATGATGAGTCAATAATGAGTCAATAATGAGTCAGCCTTGAGTTAGCAAATAAGTTAGCTGTAATCTGAGCCATAAGAAATTAATAAGAAAATAGTGTATAAAGCCAAAATCTGAGCCAGATACATCAATAAAGAATAAGGAAATAAATGCACGAAATCCATATCTGAGCCCAAAACATCAACTATAAATAGAGGTCTAGCCTAACCAAACTAATTCACTCTTCAACATTTCTCATCTACTATTCTCTCTTCTTAGTTCAAAAACTTAGTTTAATTTATTTTATATTCTTCTGGTTACCTGTCGGTTCTCTGCCCCAAATTTCTCTAATCTCTAGGTGGTTGTAGAGATTATAATCTATGCTCCACTAGTGAAAAATTTGAAAAATTTGAATTAGGTTATATATACGGTTAAAGCTTAAAACCCTGTTCAGAGTAAAACCCTGTTGTGAGTAAAACCCTATTACATGCGTGGTCCCTCCCTGCGGTTCAACGCTCTGTCTCTCTTTGTTGCTCGGGTAAGATGGTTTTTGTTTTGTCTTATTTTGCTTTGCTGGGAATATAACTTCTCAGTAAAATTGTCTGATACAATTAGGAAGAAGAATGAGAACGAGTTCCTTCCACCCATTTTTTTGGAGTGGATCATCTCATGTGTAAGAGTGGTCATGTGGTCATGTTATTTGATCACAATCATTCATTGATGATGAGATAAGAGAGAGAAAAATATATAATTTTTGAATGAGTGATTGTGATCAAATAACATGACCACATGACCACTTTTACACATGAGAGGATCCACTCCCCATTTTTTTTAAGGGGGAATGAATGCTTTTTTAAAGGTAGAAACTTTTTGTGTGCCTCGAAAGAGAAAAAATAGAGTGGGGTCTATTTATCATATTTATAGTTTCTCTCTCTTCTTTTTTTCTCTTCACCGCAGACAAATGATTTCGAACATGCCCTTTTTTTTTAATATATACACGATACAGTTTTGTCATGAAAAATTATTATTATTATTCTTTTTTTGTTTTCTCATAAAGTTGCTTCTCTCTCAATAAAATTGCTTACTCAAAATTTCAGTTTTTTTTTCTTTTTAAGAAAAAACCCTTCCGTTCTGATATGAATGGCAAACTGGGCGGGATTAGGGACTTCTTGGTTACTTTCTGTGTTTTCCCTTTTCTCCTCTCTTTATTTTTTGAATAATTTTACTCTTAAAGTTTGCTTTTGAATAAAAAAAATCCAGTGTAGAAAACACCATACTCTTCCTTAACAGTTGCGTGCCCCTCCTCCATTATTGCTCTTATTTAAACCCTTCAAAGTGTGATTATATTTGTTGTTTAAATAGGGACAATAATAAAAGAAACACATAAATTTATTAATGGTGATAAAGAGGGTATGTGTATTTTCTATATCACAGAGCCATTACTGTTTAAAAAAAGGTTAAAGGGTATTTTTGATTTTAAAGCAAACCATAGGAATATTATTAAAGTTTTTCCCAAATTTTTTTATTTCTGGTGTCGGGGAATATAGGTTTTGGATAGTTTTGAGTTTTTTTTTGGCCTGGGTTTATGCAAGTTGTAAAAAAAAATTTGTCCGAATTTGGTGTTTTGATGTCAATTTCTTTTTTAATCTAATTCACTGGTATATGCATGCCAGCGTTTGTGTTATAAAAAATGTGATTTTTTTTTTGGTAATTTATAAAAAAATGTGATTTACTTTGCGCAAAAATGTGTTTGATATATGGTGTTATTTAATATTTGATTTTTTTCCTCGTATAGTGCTATATTTTATCCCTAAATTAATTATGCTTGTTGAATTGGGTTACATTAATTTTGCTGGGACTGTTGCTATCTTTTTTTTTTTGGCACCTTGTTTGGGCTATCCAATATGTGATTGATGTATTGTTTCTTTGCTGCCTTTGCAGCAAAGTGTGCCTTCTGGATCCTATGAATTTGGAAATCAAAACATTATCCTCAAACAATTTGTTTTAATACATCGTTATGGGTGCTACTAAAACAACAGTACAAGGTAAGAAATCAAATTTCAAGTTACTACTTACTACCAAAAGGGTTGAAGTTGATTTTGGATTGAAAAAGTATGAATTTAGAGAAAAACCATCCCACTTTGATGAGAATGAGTGCTCTAATTCAAAGGAAAAATCCTCTATGACAGGTTCCATCAAGAGAGGACCACAAGGTATTATCGAGGGCCATAAAGAGAAAAGGCAGAAGATAGATCAGAAAACATCTCTTCTGTGTACTGCCATTCTGAAGTGTCTAACATCCCACAGATATGGGTGGGCTTTTAATAAGCCAGTGGATCCTGTGGCATTGAATATTCCAGATTATTTTACAGTCATATCTCATCCCATGGATTTAGGCACTATTAAATCCAAGCTGGAAAAAAATATTTGCTTTAGCATTGAGGAATTTGCAGCTGATGTTAGATTGACCTTTTCAAAAGCCATGACATATAATCCTCCTATGAATGCTGTTCATTTAATGGCAACGGAGCTCAAAAAAATATTTGAGAGAAAATGGAAAGACTTGGAGAAAAAATGCAAGTGTGAAAATGAGAATGAAAAAATTATGACTGGAGCAGTGAGGGGACATGTGAGAAAATTTTGTAATAGGATGCGTCCCCTGCAAAAGGATACCTTGCCCAAAAAGATGCAAGTACCTGAAATGAAAGAAATGAAAGAAATTCAGAAGATTAGTTCATTGGATGGAAGACATGCTAAAGTAAGTATTGTTTTCTTCGAGGGAAGTAAGCCTCATTGGAATTTGCAAAAATGTAATACATGTGTTGGAATTGATGTAACATAATGTTGCTTGTTATTGTATTTTGCTTGTTTTATGTATGTTCATAATTTTTTTATTTGTGGCAATACTTTGATTATATAGGTTGAGGTTCCTAAGTCGTTACAGACTCGTTGCAAATTGATTCAGAAAAACTTACACAAAGGTACAAAGCATTAAGTCGTTACAGATTCGTTGCAAATGATTTGTGATATGTGACGTTCTACCTGTAACTTATTCGATAATTTGGAATGC